CTAGAGCCATACGATTCTGGATCAACAGAGCAATCCTGGAGTCCAGGTAGCGGACGTCCTTCTCGAGGACAAAATTCTTCTTGGACTGGTTTGAAATCTTGACCTTCAAGTCCCTGAGCGAGCGCTGTGCTCGTGCGAGGTCATCGCTGATTTCCAAATCTTTGTCTTTTGCGCTCATACTCGCATAGAGCGCGGTCATGCTAACCCGTTTGCTCTGTCGCAAGGACCGAGCGCCATCGTGGCTGGAGAAGGTGTTGGTACGGCTGACAGGTTCGAAGGAGGAGTTGGTCGAAGTCGAGGCTCGTGAGGCTGGCTGAAGCATGGTTGCGACCGCCATGTCAGCGCCCTGCTTGGATCGACGCGACCTTGAGCGGTCCTTTGCGCTGGAGACACGCCTGGGCACGTCGGAACGGAGGGAAGAGCTCATCTACTCTTTCTGTGCCAGACAACAGAATTCAAAGCGGGACGTGAACTCTATATACAACTCGGGGGTTGTATGATATTGTGACGTCGGCCTTGTTTCAGAACGGGCTGCAGGTCATCTGGGATCGGTGATGCACAATCGTTTCCACCCGGGAGCAGACGCGGACGGGTTGGAAATATCGGGCTAGAAAGGGCAGATTGCAGTATTATTTGTGTTGTAGTTTTGACTGGGGGTGGGAAACGTCCAATGCGACCGGCGCGAGAGTGATGTAAATAATCTCTTTCTCCCTTCTTCTGTCAAGATGCAGATTCTGAACGAACACAAGCCAAAAAGCTCCACCCGACAGAGATTACAGATATCCTGAACAGTGAGACGCGGAAAGCTGAGGTCTTCGTGAATGAACCGGCGGGGGTGCGGGAGTTCGTGATGGGCGTTGAAGAGGAAGGTCTGGTGGGCCGAGCTGTGTGCAGGCCCTATGACTGGCAGCGCAGGTCAAGGATTTCGGCTCCAAGAATGCGACAGCAGACGGCAACAACAGAGGTAGGGCGGGTTGAAGGAAGCGTTGGCAGACGTGGTTGGTGATTAGGATGAAGATAAGAGGAGTGGCAGCGAGCGAACGGTAAGGCAAGGAGCGGGTGTTGGACAGAAGTCTGTCAGGAACCAGGAACAAGCTGCGTGGACGAATGAAGGGAGGGAGGTGGACTGCAGCTGGATGGTCAGAAATGATAGGGGGGGAGGGATGTTTGAGGAGGGTGTCAGGGCGTCAGGACCAGTTGATGGAGGTCTGGGTTTTTTCTGGAACGGTGAATGGGTGGAAGTGTGGATGAGTGGATAGACGAGGGACAGGAACAAGTCGCGGAGGGAGAGGGAGGAATGGCGAGAAGAAGAGAGTGGGCTCTAGATTGGATGGTCGCGGCGGGTTTCTATTCGAGTACTTGTAGTGGGTGGTGGTAAGGTAGTTGGGTCAAGAGCCTGGAAATGGAAGAGCGAGCTGGCTTGGGAAATTCCTGCCCCCAGCCCTGGGGTGCATGCCAGTTAAAACTAAGAGGTGGCCTCAAGTGCCTGGAGAGGGGAAGAGGGAGAGGGGGGGCGTTTAGACTACGAGTACCTACGGAGTATGATCTGGCAATAGACTTTGTAGTGGTAACGAGAAGGAGATAAAAAAGGCGTGGCCGGGACAGGCAGTCATGGCAGCGGTGGTGGAGGGTGGGCGTGGGTATGGAGAAGTGTGTCTCTGATGAGCATTTACAGGCTAGCGGGCTTACCCTGGGCTCCATGACAAGTGCCTGAAGGAGGGTGGAACAGGTGGACAGGTGGTGGAAAGGGTGGAAGAGGGTGGGCTCCTCCCGGTGATGTGCGAGTTAGTAACCAAACACCCAAGGTACATGCACCCAGCATGTACCTGATGGAGTTGACTTTTAGGCGACACCAGCTACCCAGGAAACCTATCTCGCTCTGGTTAGGTCGCCCGCAGCTTGGCGGGGTTGGCTCTGATCTCTCGCCTGCTCTTCTCCCATCCCTTCCACTTCTGTGCCTTTCAGGGGTAAATCTGAAAGTCAACTGACTCCGGATGAACGGTCTGCATCCTTGCTCTCCTCAAGCCTTCAACCGCCAAAAGACGCCCATCCAGCCCAATCCGTCCACATACGCGGAAAGACGCTGACCACCTCGTGAAAGCCACCACCGCCATAGCGCATCCCAAAATCCTGTTATCCACCTTTGACTTTCCGAGGCTGCTTCCAGGCTCCAAGACCAGGAGGCAGGCAAGTTGAGATGAGGAGTTCTAAGTTTACGGGACGGTGAAGACGGGTGCATGGTTGTTCTGGGTCAAACGAGTTTGTTTCTCTTCACACTGGAGACAGAAACATCTTAAAATGGGACGGTCAGATGCAAATCTACCGCCTCGACATGAGCCTTGCCGATCAATGGCCCGCCACCATCGCTGTGCACGTACGTCTCTGTTGCGCCCTCCTTGAACCTCCCGCGCAAGAGTCTCGCGAGCTCTGCCAGAATGTGCTCTCGGTTGCCCTCGGTGCTCTCGTAAATTTGGATATTTCATTTTGGCCGGCATGTTAATTTCTTGATACCCTCTCCCGGAAATACTCATCAAATGTCAAATAACCTCGTGCATGCAAGGAGAGCGGCCGTGGCAGACCAAGCTCGGGCTGACCACCCAATAGGAGAAACATCTGAGATACTTTGGTATCCGCAAGCTTGGGCCTCAGATGTTCCTGACTACTGAAAGATAGCTCGTAACATGGTGTGCGACTTGATGGCTTGGGAGGCAAACTTCCGAGCCCTGACTGTACTTGTACTAGAGATACGAGGAAAAAGAGGTCGTTCAGGTCGTACTACTCATATCTGGCAAACGAACTCCCGGTAGCTGCTGGGTTGTCCCGATCTGGATCAGCCACTGCAGATGAGAGAACCTGTAGAGCAAGGGTTGAGGAAGCCTGGATCTGGGTGGTGTTTTGCAGCGCTAACAGTGGAATTCACGGCATCTCACGAACTGGTGACAAGGTACCGAGTCCTCGACTCCTCGTACCTACAAGGTAAGGGGTGGTTGATGGTGACCCAGCTCAGGTGGAGCGTGGAGCATGTGCAGGGGTCGAGTCCAAAGGGTTTGTTTGGGATTCGTATGTCCCAAGTACGAGAAAGTATGAGGGTGCTCGAGTCCAAGTTTCAGATGAGCCTTGAAGTTGGCTAGAGCACGGTCTCAAACACGAGCGTTTCGCCCTTGCCTTTGGTTTTTGGTTATTTTTCTCCAGACCCCAGGATCCAGCTACCTGGCACGCTTTCTTCTCTCTCTTTGTGTGTGTGCATCCTGGGATTCCCTTGTTCACTCGTACTGCAGGCTTGACAGGTGTGGCAGGTCAGACAACCCTCCCTGCCACGTTCTTCCTCGAGCAGCTATCAAAAAATAACGTTTTTCTTCACCTCGCCATCTCGCCACAGCCATGGGAACTCTCTTGTCCGGTTTTACATGTGCGCGGGAGGAGGGAGATGGTCGATCGAGGAACTATGCAAACATCCTTGTCTGCAACGGGAACTTCCCGACGATGCTGAGGACGATGTTTTGTTTGCGCAGATAGACACTTGTGGTGCTTGACTCGAAAGAGATCCTCGCTCGACTCGTAATAATAGCTGATAGCAAGGTGTGTGTGGGCATTCAATAGTAGGTAGTACCTCGTACCTCGTAGTATACCTACAGTAGTTAGTTGCGGACCCTGGCCCTTGGCCCTTGGAGCCCTGCAAAGTCCGCCTGGGGGGGGGAAACTGGCCACCCCTGCACGCTTCCCTCCACCCCCCCTTTTTTTCCCAGATCGCCAAGCCGATAGACAGAAACACGTTTTTGTTGGCAAGTGACAATGACAAAAGTGGCTTGCGAAGAGACGGCGAGACGGCCCAGGTCTTGGAGTCTGGACCCATCAAAAAAACGAAAGTAAAATCGACTTTTCTTACTATTGACTATGATGGATGGTGATGGACGTCGTTGGATGTGTACGAGGTAGTATGTACATGCTCCTCACGAATACATACGTCACGGACTGGGGATGATCTTCTAAGTTCTAAAGAGGAGCTACTTGTGCTGTTGCCAGCTAGTGGTATGTGATATGTCTCCGTAAGGATAGGATCTACCGTACTCCGTAGGGACGTAGGTAGATCGGACAAATGTGGTCCTGGTAGTTTTGCAGACAGGCACAGAGGCAATGTCAATCTCGCAGATCTGTACGAGGAACTCGCAGGCTGCTCGAAAACCCCCCTTCGCCATCTGGCGCCAGCGCCATCGCCAGCCCCCCGCTGGTCTGGGTCTCTTTGCGTTAGGGACACGGGGACTTGTCGACAAAGAGGAAAAGGTTTTGGCACGGCCTACGGCTCGCTAAGGGGCGGCGAAGGGCGCGAGGGCGCGACGCATGCTTTCCGTACCATCATGGGCCATCCCATCCCACCCAGCGACAATCAACCTTATTGTAGCAGCAGCGGAAGCAGCATAAAGCTACCAATCACACCCCAAGGCCATGGGAGCGGCAGAAGAGAGAAAAAAGGGTCCAGTACCTACCTAGTAACCTTGTAGGGTTGGTGGTGTGTCTTCCTGCACAGTTTGGCACGGGCTTCACTTTCTGACGGACACATGCGCTAAGGGGATACGGGTGTGGTGGGTGTATGGTAAAGGGGCTGCTTATTACGACGTACCTACATACACACCTTTAGCAAACAGCTCCTGGATGACATGGACAGATTCATTCTTTGCTCACATGTCAAGGTGCCAGACTAAGGTTGCCAATACCGAATCCATCAACCATTGACCGACAGCTTTTCCTCGATTCTCCAATGGGTCTGTTCATCATATGTACCCACCGACTTGCCTCCAGGTTACACAAAACACGGCTGGACGCCCTGTCGATTGCATTAAGACGAAGCGATCGTCCAGGACTACGGAGTCCATTTCTTGACAATGGCTCCGAAAGATGATAAACTCGTCTGTTCATCTGTCGATGGCCTTCCACTCTGATGTAGATGGCTGCTTGTCAACGCATCAACATCCACCTAACAACAGCAGGTGATGCTTTTGACCTCATTCAAGCTTATTCCGCAGGTTGTCGTATTTGCTTTCGGGGTATTCCAAGCAGTTCTTAACCTCTTCCAGCCGACTTGGCCCACCACTCTGCACCAGAAACGTCTCGATCAGGCTGCCCTGCCCAACCGCCTTGTCGGCTGAACTTTCCCACCACATGCCACCTCCTAGGCCATAGTCTCGGACAAAGTTTGCTTTCTGAGCCACCAAGTCAGGTGTATCATAGCTGATCATGGTATTCGAAGAAGGGCAGTAACTCCAGCTGGCTCCAATTTCGCGATCGTGGTGCTCGGTGCTATCTGGTTTCGGGAGTGCTTTGTAGTCCCAGACACCCTGCTCCCAGCTTCCTTCCCCCACCCCGTTGTATGAATGTCCGGGTCCAGAGGTCGACATGAAGGTTCGGCCATACAGGGGCATTCCCAGGACAAGCTTGGACGGATGTACTCCGTGCCTAGTGTAATGTTCAATGGCAGCCACCGTGCTAAAGGGCGTACACTGAGGGTGGGACTGGGAAGGGAATAGATTTGCTTGGTGTCCCGCTCGCTGGTCCCACGAGCCGGCATAGTCATATGCCATCAGGTTCCAAAAGTCGAGCAGGCGGTCCATCTCGGCAATCTTCAGCTTCTCAAAGTTGGAGGGACCAGCAGGGCAGGCGACAGTCAAGTAAAACCCGGTATGGTGACGCTTGGCAGCTGCTGCGTCGAGGGCCTGGCGGGTCTCCTGAAGCAGCTTGACGTAGTCCTCCGCCTCACTTTCATTCTTGGGGTACTCCCAGTCGATGTCGATGCCGTCGAATCCAAGGTCTTCCAGCAGTCTGACGGCCGTCTCTGCGAAATGTCTTCTGCCGGCAGATGTGCTGGCCGGTTGTGCAAAGTTTGACGAATAAGTCCAGCCGCCAATACTCAGTAGCACTTTGAGGTTACGGTTTCTCTTCTTCAGGAGGAACAGCTGCTTCACGCACCCGTACACGTTCGTCCCCGAGTCGTTCCAGCTGTCGCCATCGTAGTGTTTGTCAGTGTCAGACCAAGGATCTGTCAAATAGACCTCGCCACTGTCAGGTTTGACATTGGCAAAGGAATAGAGGACGTGAGTGAGATTCTCGGCAGGGAGGTCTTGAGGGTGATGGTTGCGTGCATAAGGTGCCCAGTTCACGTAGTACACGACTGAGCGAATGCCGTGTCCGCCACCCATTGTGTGGTAAGGCTGGTCTAGGTCAAGTTGCGGTATAAACTGGGTAGAGGACAGATACGGAGACAGGAGGACGATGCAAAGGCAAGAAAGAAACAGGAGCATGCCCTCGTTGAGAAGCAGGCTTTATATGAGCAAGTCACAATCTCACCCAGAAGTGTGCACCAGGGTCACTCGGTGACATGGAAGCTGGATATTCAGCTGCTGTTTCAAATCCGTCTGCCTGAGAAGCTGACGCGGATAGGATCATGGCACAGTGGACGATAGTGACTTGGGGTGGAGAGCGTTGACGTGGCGCCAACATGTGGCTGCGAATGACTGTTAGTGGCTACTAGTGGCTAGTGCGTGTGGCTGGTGATGAGGCGGTGCTTTGGTGGCTGTCGGTCTCCAATGACTCCGGCAAATCATTGAGGCGGCGACCTTCCTCGGCATCAATGGTCAACCTCGATCTTAAGTGTATATCACCTTACCTATATTCCCGTGAGACTTCTATTGCCTCTCTCTTCAACCTCCCCTTCCTTTCTCTCCTCCACAAAGATGCCCCTCGAGGTCTTGTTTTTTGGCGCTGGCGCCATTGGGGCATTCTATGCATCCCGAGTGGCTCGAATCGCCAACACCAATGTCTCAGTCGTCTGTCGCTCGAACTACTCGGCTGTCAAGGCCAATGGCTTCAAGATTACGTCCCCTCAGTACGGAGACTACACGTGGACGCCGACTCGGACATTTAACTCTCCTGAATCAGCCCGTAGAAGCGGCGTCAACTGGGACTTTGTCGTGGTCAGCACCAAAGCATTGCCCAATGTGTCGGACGACTCGAAACTCCTTGAAGGCCTGGTCAGTGCCAATACGGCGATTGTGTTGATCCAGAACGGTCTGGGTGTGGAGCAGCCCTACGTGGAACGCTTCCCTCAATCCACTATCCTCAGCGCCGTGACGATTGCTTCTTGCGCACAGCCTTCCAACGGCCACATCAAACACAATCGCTGGACGCGGATAAACGTGGGCCCGTACTTTTCCGTGTCGAATCCCTCCGCCGCTGTGACGACAAAAGCGACGGCCCAGAACCAAACTTTTGTCGACCTGCTCCTTAAGGGAGGCATCAAGGATGCTATTGCCGACACGCACGAGAAGCTCCAGCTGGTCCGGTGGCACAAAATCGCCATCAACGCATCCATGAATCCCTCGGCGGTGCTGTCGGGCGGCTCGACCAATGAAGCCATGTCCAATGACCCCGAGCTATCGAGGCATCTGCAGGGGGTGATGGACGAGGTGCTCACGACCGCGCCCAAGGTCGTCGGCAAGCCGTTCCCCGCGGGGTTCGCCACCGCCGAACAGATCCTTCGGTCGACGCGCAGGAACACGAGCGGGAGCAAACCGAGCATGCTGCTCGACTGGGAAGCGGGCAAGCTCATGGAGCTGGAGGTCATACTGGGAAACCCGATCCGGCTCGCGCGGGAGAAAGGGTACGAGATGCCGAGGATGCAGAGTTTATATGCCCTGTTGAAGATGGCGGAGAAGAACCGAGAGATACAGAAACAGAATGCCAAAGGAGGCAGTAAGCTGTGATTGCCCGCCCTGGAGTTGCCCTGGACATGCTCTGGGATGTTGGCATTTGATCCATGCTGGGTGGCTATGTCTGAGGTGTGAGTCTGATACATATCTAAAGTTGTCATCGGGTCGAGATGTCCAGTCCATACATGTTGAATAGACCGCGGACTACAAGTACGTAAGACACAATATTCACCAGAAGAAGGTGGCCGTCTATGTACACACTTAGGCGCCTTTGTGTGCGAGCCATCAATGTACAGCGACCTGTTCGAGGCAGGCCGGCCATATGCTCCATAACGGGACGTATCTTGACTACATGGACATATCTTGACTCATGTGTACATCTTCTCTCAACACTCCTCCCTGAGCACCTCCATACTGGATACCCTCCTACAGAAGCCGACGGTCTTGTATTTCACCAATATACATGTGTACATCCCCAGAGACCTCAATCTCCTTATCCTGTCCCCGGTCCTCATCACCATCCCATCCCCCAACACACGCCCCTCGCTCTCGGCCCCCTTACAACTTACCAGTTCCCACCTCGACCCTCTCCCCCATCGGCCCCTTCTTGAACCTCTCCCGCACGCCCTCGCCGCCCAAGTCCTCGGGCACCCACGCACAGCGCACGTCGCAGAACTGCTCCTTGTGCGGGGCCCAGTGGGTGGTGACGCCGTCCAGCACGCCCGCGGGCAGGGAGACGATGTCGTCGTTGAGCGGCGTCAGGGAGTAGACCTTGGAGCCGCAGATTTTGCAGAAGGCGCGCGAGAGCGGGAGGCCCGACTGCGTCGCCCGGTCGGCGTACGTGGTGATGTGCTCGGAGCCGGTGTGCAGGGTGTATTGCTACCAGCGGGGCAAGCGAGCAGGGTGGTTAGAAAAGGTATGTAACATATATGCGCACGTGTGTGGAGGGGTCGGTTTGGGGGTGGATGCCATGGGATACAGGGCAGCCTTGACTTTCATGGGCGGCTTGGGAAAAGGTGGACGGCGGGAGGCATAAGGAGACTCACCTTCTTCGGAAAGATACTTGCACAGTGTAATGTGCTTCCACCCTGTCGTCTATGCCGCACCGAGGGTCAGCTTTGTTCACCTAACTCTCACAGGTATTCCGGAACGAGGACGTCAATTCTCCTCCCCCCGTTGATCAATATTCGACTTCTTTCGCGATCTTCGTTGCGTCTCCCCTCTATCTCATACCCTCATACTGACCAACCACCACAACCGTCCCCCGCCCTGGATCAACTCCATACCACAGAAACCAACGTGCCAGATTCCCGGGATTGCCACACGAGTATAGCAGAAAGAAAGACAAACGAACAAACGACGAGGGAGATGACCCCACGCACCTGCAATTCTCGCAGTGACACACGACATTATAGATCGGCTCGCCCACGACCGTGAACGTCACGGCTCCGCAGAGACAGCGACCATGGTCGACTTTCTCGGCAGCAGGCGATTTGTCCGATGACATTGCGTCCGCTCTGTTACTCGTAGGGTTGCGGTGCAGTGAGGAGGAAGGGCGTGTGGGAACGAAAGAGAGGGGAGGGGAAGGACGATTCCTGTCCGAAGGAGGCCTCGGGATTGGGAAGATATTACTATTGACAAGCAAAGAGGCAGGATTGGTATGAAAAGCAGTGATTCACAAAATAGAGTATACTTGTATACATTCGAGTACGCCTCTAGATTCTGCACGATGTCGACTTGTCAAATGCTTGAGCTCGCACGGCTCGACCCCAAAGACCAAAGTAAATGGTGCTGGAGACCGTGTCGCTACAATTCGCCTATACCCCGTGGCAAAGAGGAGGTGTTTTCCAAAACACCGTTTTTGGACTCCCGCGGCAATAGATGATCATATCGGCGTACCTGATTAGGACACTAGTCAGGAAATCCTGACACTCAGGATGCCATTGTGACCAGCTCAACCGATTGGTGGACTGATAAATTCCAGCCTTGCGCCAGCTCGATTCATACGAGAATACAAGCCTCAGTGCTAAAAGGCACCGAGACGTACTGACACCAGACTCTTAGAGATGAGGTGGAATCAGCTGCAGCCTGGCCTGCTTGGAGACTGTAGCACGAGAGATCACCCTCGAGAGTGACCACTCTCGAGATGCGTCCAGCTTGTTGTATCTGTGATCTGGAAACTTCCGATCTCGTGCAGCTGAGCTGGGCAATGCAGTTGTTCAGATGTCGAGACGTAGCAATCTTGTCGCTCAATGAATCGAGTTCCTACGACTCAAAATCATTTTCATTTTCGCCTGGATTTTTCCTGTTCTGAGGGTTGTTTCCTCAGTCATGACGCTTATTTTGATGACACCTTCTTGACGTTTGGCGGACTTTGTGTCGTCTCTGTCGTTGTAAACCAAGAGCTGGCCACCAAAGTCGCACCCACAATCCATGCAGGCAACCAAATACACAAAACACCCACAGGGACCCCCCAACTGCCCCAGATGTTCCAACCCAAGGCGAGCCGCTGTACCCACTCGACAAGAACATCATCTCGTCCCAGCACAAAGACACCATATGCGCTCAATCCTATTGCCAGTCCCATAGGACTCATGACAACAAGTATCAAATACTGGAAAAGTGACAGTCCTGCCCTGGAGCGAGTTCTGTCCACAAAGGCCAGTGGTATGCAAACAATACCCAGAAACATGCTGAGGCTAAAGTTCAGGGTTGCGAGGACCGTCAAAGACAGCCCAAGCAATAAAAGGCTTAGTGATTTGGTTAGAACGTACTGCTCGTCGGTAGGCGCTGAAAAGGCAGGTAAGGTGGTGTTGTTGGGCATTTCAGCAAGCGCTGATGCTAGGACGATAGGGAGCACAACCAGAGCAACCGTAATGAGAAAAATTGTTGAGGGTATGGCTTTGAGGCTCAGCGAAGTAAGGAGGTATAGTGGGAGAAGAGACGCCAGGTGTATCGCTGTTAGGAGGGCGATTGGTAGGACGAGTTGTCGGTCGACTGGTTTGAATTCGATTTTGGGCTGGGACCCCTTCGTCACTGATGCTCGTGGTTCCGAAAAACCTGTCTTCTCTGTTGTCCCGTTTTCCAACTTGCCCGCCACCGGCTCTGCTTCTTTCTCAGTAACTTGATAGCCACTCAATATCCAAAGGTAGATTGCCATGGTCGTATAAGCGGCCGCCATGATCATCGCACCCGGCAGATACGTTCCGATGCTGACGAATCGATTTGACTGCATCAGCAAGTAGAAGAAGAAGCTCTGGTGCAGTTTCTCAAGTAGATTGTTGAGACTTCGGCAGATGCTTTCGATGGTCCTCCCAAACGCCATCTCGTCCTGCCAGCCCTCATTCGTCGCTGTCAAGGTGATAGCATCAATATGATACGTCATAAAGGTAGAATGGGGACCAGTTGCATGGCCGAGGGCCTGTGTTGACATTCCGCGGACGAGAGTTTGGAGGCGGACAGGGTACGAGTTATACTGCTCATGATTGCTGTAGGTGTGTTGAAATTGTATAGAGGTTCCAATCCCCATCTGCCCCGATGCGATAGATACGGCGGTATTGAAAAGATCGAGGTTGGGTAGAGCGCCGTTAATGCCGTCGTATGCAATATGAAGGGTCTCGAAGCGATGTTCGAAAGGATAGTCGATACAGACAGCAGCCTGAAGTGCACCAGATTTCAGCGACAGGTCTTCCACCTTGTACGGATCATGGGTAGAATGATACGCATCGATCCAGGCTTGAGGCCCTGCGGTACTGTCCGGTGTGACCAGGAATATGATGTCCTTGGACCACAGTGACCATCGTTTGAAATACCGCGACAGAGAAATCAATAGCGGAACACCATTCACGTTGGGGACACCATCGATGTTTCGGAGCGGCGCAACAAGCACAATTGCTTCGGTTCCGTCACCGCGCGGCGCGTGCAGAACGGCATAGACATTCTCTCCGTCGTAAGACTGGCCAGACGACGTATAAGAATACCGTTGCTTTGCGGTCTTCAGGCCCGCGTTTCGGAAGAGCTCTCCTATCTTTTCACTGGTACGAGCCTCCCAAGCTCTCTGCTCTGCTTTGTCCAAGGTCTCGTTGCCAGCAGCCTTCACACCACCCTCCAGAACCGTAGCCAACTCGTATCGATATGCGCGGAAAACATTTTGCTCGCTACCGCCGAAGTAAGTGTGGACCTGGCCGGGAAGGAGGGCATTTTCTGAGATGTACGTCTGTCGAGAGTACTCATGTAAAGGCAAGGGCAGGATCCATGCAATGCCGACGAGCATGCACAGCAGGGACAAATACGGTGGGATTCGCAGCAGTCGGGGGTCGTCCTTGCGGAGACTTGAGGCGAGGTTTCCTGTAAAGCCGCTCCTTTAGCAAATCAGTCGTATTGGCGACTTTTTGAATAGTCAATGATGCACTTACGTATTAGGCCCATCTCGACCTTGCTCAGCTCATTGATGGCTTCACGGCAAGGCCTTTATACTCACAATGTCGAGGGGCGATGTGAATGTATTCAAGGAGATCTGGACAGTTCCTACGACGCCGAAGATTAGCCGCCAATTATGAGCGTCTCGCGCCTCCACTGACGCAGGCTGTACAGGGAAGTGGTCTTTCAAAAGTCTCATGTATTTGTCTTCATTAAACCATTTACAAATCTGGCTACTAGTACACCGGGCAACCTGTCCACAGACATGACGCTCCGTTTATCCAATTTGAGCTCGATCCAACTGTCCAAGGTACCGTGCTTCTCTAACACAATTTTCCCAAAGTCGAAATCGTCAGAAGGGCTGGTAGAGGTTTATGGCCCAAGTCTCTGCCCTTCGCTGCTGGTACCCATCCAACCGAGTCCGATAGGGCTCATATGGCCATCCGGTCCGCTGGTTGAACTCGTGGGAAGAACGCCATATCGACCATACGTCTTCTGGTCCACAGACACATAATGCGGTAATCGTCCAAGTAGATTGAGTTTTCCTTCGATCCAGCGAAGGACTTTCTCCGGAGGTGCGAGGAAACGAATATAGCCCAAGCCCCCTATTTAGATGGTAATTAGTCTCAGGTGGTTCAACGTAGCAAACAGGGATGCGAGTGAAGAGCATGGCCACGTACACAGATATCCCGTTATACATCCACTGAGATGTCCAAGGAAGGAAGCGCTGGGAATCAGTATAGATGTCACGACCAGTATTACTAGTGGTGATATCCAAGTTGGTATCTTTTGGTCTCCGATCCTGTTCAGTTGTCAGCAGCTTGTAGGGATGCTCGTTGCCTTTCTCGGCGCAGAGGGGGAATCAGACGAAGACTTACTCAAGATATGGATTTGCCCGATATGTTTTGATGGCCTCGGCCGCAAGAAGAAGGAACACCCATATACTACGTGTCCATGTCAGCCTGTCTTCTGTGTCGGGCGGCATAGCTGTCCATACCTTGATCCGAGAACTGGCGTATTGTCTCTGAGGATAACGCCGTCCATTATCAAATATAAAACCGCAGGTATCTGGCCCAACGCTGTGATAAGAATAAGCAGCCACTCCCCCATGGAATCCGAGCCATCCGAGCCGCATGTTCTTTCAAAGAAAGCATACGAGACTTACGACCCATGAATAACGCAATGCTGTTCAGCGTGCCAAATTCAGCTTCGAACCTCTCGAGCAGAGGCATCAGGCAGATGGTATTGATCAACATGTGCCAGAACCCCGTGTGTATCAAGACAAAGGTGTTCAGCCTGTACATGCTCCCCAGATTGATTTCTTTGGGTTCCAGTGAGCCCCATTTTATCACGCTCCAGACGGTTTGCAGTTCGAGTATCCAGAACGCCACAATAGCGACGAGGATCAGGCGGGTAAAGAGAGGGAGACGTAGAACGTAGGATCGTATACGTGACGGCTGGATTAATCGGGTGGGTAGAGGGAGGCTGTTGGTCGTTATTCGAGGCACCACTCGAGGTACTGCCATTCTGGCGCGAGGCACAGGGAGATGTTGGTGTGGGCAGCGGCTCCAGCGGGCGCTTCAATGCCTGTCAGAGGTTAGACTCGATGGACGAAGGGCAGCTCGTCGAGAACATACGAACCTCGGGGTTTCAAGGCGTGGAAGTGTAGTTCAAGTGGCTGTACGCCATAATCCGGGGAACACAATTGACTGTAAGACTAGAAATGTAGTAGTGTCTCGTGCCTGAAGAATCATTGACGAATCCGTGCTGGAGGCTAGAGCCTAATATTGCACGCTGCGGAGAAATTGCCTGTCGATCCCACTGAAATTAGTTGCCATGGCTTGCATGGCTTCCACTCTCTAGCCTTTTCTTTCCTTTGGGCCTCATCTTGAAATGTTCCCGCGTGCAATGGCTCTTGTCCATCACTTTGAGAGAACAGATATTGGGGAAGAAACGACGAGAGAGTTTGCCTGTGTCCTGCGGCCAACCGCGTCGCCGTCCTACACGCGATGAGCGCCGCGTTATACACAACGATTGAAAAGAGCCAGCTAGTTATTGCTTGTCGAGGTGTACGGGTCATGTCTAAGATGCGGCAGATCGATCTACGCGTGGTACATGCAGTGACTCTGGTTTCTAGCCAACGGTTCACTTCATCGACACGACGCCACTGCCTGTCCGCCTCAGACGCAGCTTCTCCGGTGACCACACTGGAAGGCTGTCTTTCTGGCTTGCATGGAAATGAACACTTGAACTGACAATGCCCACCATGTCGAACGACGAGACTAAAACCATGCCACGGTTCCAACCCTGTCTCCCATCTCCCGCACCACACAAGCATCGACCGTGCAGACACTGGAAAGGTGCCTTATACCTGATCACTCAACATTCTCAGGCGTGATTGAGTGACCTTACTTGCCCGTGCTGCATGATAGAAACAAGTGCCTTCAAGAGATGGCCTCCCTTGGTGTTGATTTGTAGCCTTGCAGATGGCTCGATTTGTATTACCATTTCCTAACTCGGTCATTTGTCCTATGACTTTCCTCCCTGATGGTAGACCACAGATAGCATGTGCAGGTATGCCATAGCTCCGGGGCATCGGTTCACAATAAGCAGTGAGATCCCCCATTGAATTGTGAACAAGCACAAAAGTATCTGTTTTTCTTCAACATTTCCTCATCTGAGATTTCTCAAAGGCGATACTCCTCCACGAAGCCAATTTCCCCTAGGTCAAGGCAGCCTCTAGACTGGATCATGCATTTTGAAAAAGCGGCTGCAAGGAAAATGTCAGGAGGGGAGAGATGGAACTCTAGCTATGAATCGTCTTCTCTGATTATTAGCTTGCCCGGATCCGGGTCGAAGCAGTCAGGCAGTGTTTTCCACTGCAGCTATAAACAAAAAACCAGCTAGCTAGTTATATCCCTAGCTGCGGTACTCTATGGATTCGGGGGGTATCACTGGATGCGCGGACGCCTGTGGTAGTGCTGGTGGACGCAGAACGTGACCGGCGCGTGCGGCGTCTGTAACAGGGGGGTATCGTGCGTTTTTGAAAGCAGATGACAATAACGATAAACCTCCTCCATCGGGGTTTTCTTCCTTCCGCGTCCTCATTAGGTCTCTCCAAAACTCGGGACGTGTCGTAAAATCATCATTATAGCAGGGTATCGTCTTCCGCAAGGCTATGCTTGGTGCGAGGAGCCGTCCAGCAAGGTAAAGATCGTAAGAAGCTGTATAAACGTAAAAGCATCAAGTAGGTCTGGGGTGGTGCGTGATTCGAGGTCCTGAGAACTCCTTCAAGTCATGCGGATTGTTGGTTGATTGGGGATGAGAGCTTTTGACTATTAAATGCAGGGCTTCGATTGACACAGTCAAACCAGAACACCACTGCACAGAAGATGGTTAAGTCTTCAAAATCTGGGGGCCGAGCCCTTGTTTTCTCTCCTCATGGCCCAGCCCTTGAGGCAAAGCACGATGATCTCATATGCCATGATGAACGCCGTGAACCCACACGTAACGGTGAGAACGAACATGGCCATGAGACCTGTCGTCTCCATATAGTGGATGATGTCGCGGGCACTGGCCATGAAGATGATCCCGCCACTGATCAAGCAGAAGGATGCGACCAGTTCGGTCGGCGGCCGGGTAGGATAGACCGACTTTGGTGGAGAGAGGAACATGATCAGGTACGTGCAGATCCTAGCGACGCCGAAGCCGACCAGGAGTGTGCCCCATTGTGAGTGTACCTTGGTAGACACCATGGAGTCCTGGTGATGTGAGGACATCATGATCCCCAGGAGGATAATGACCAAGCCGGGCATAGGGTTGAGAGATGTAGTGTACTGTTTCGGGGTGTCGCGCAGTTCCAGTGCTTCACTAGGATGAACCTCTGTTCGGGCGGGCATTGTTTCGACGACGGTGTTGAGACAGCGTCGCACGATGCTGGACTCGACAAGCATACCGCACTAGCAAACTGCGTTAGCCGAGGGATTCCAAGGGAGACAAGAGACAAAAGCAGCTCACCAATCCACCTCCAAAGAACATGATGGCGATCGAGACATGTTCAAAATCCTGCGCCGTCCACTCGCCACCCCAAGCAGCAAGATGCTCCAGGAAGACATTGGTCGCACCATACAACCAAATGACAAAGGATTCTGTGAATTCAGCCGAAGGGATTTTCGACTTCCATTGGCCGACTTCGCTGCGGGTCGGCTTAAGATTCCAAGCCCAGCCCAGATCGGCAAAGCAACCCATCCATCGTCCAAGGGTGAGCAATCCGTACCAGAAGAAAATTCCTCCCTTGATAAAATGCGCGAGACCTGTGAAAACATTGTTTGCTCTCTGTTCAGACAAGGTCAGTCTCTGCGCGGGCTCCTGAATTGCTGACTGCGCCCCACAGTGGGAGGGGCGCAGCTAGGGAAATACTCACGAAAAGACCACAGTATGTGATGAAGCCGGTTATCAAAGTGATGAAACCAAGGACCAGAATCAATCTGTCGACCACATTGTACACAATCTCGACCACTCGCAAAATCTGAGATGAGACCAGATTCGGGATCCGAGCGGACAGGTACTTATCGATGAAGCTGATGCGCAACCAGCGAGACTTCTCGCTAGGCTGCTGCGGCAACTGCAGGTCATCGTCGTCTTCCGATTCTGGGAGAGGTTCGGGTTTCTCGAAATCTTCGAAGGTATCTCGTCGGCCCACAACCGTCGGAGACCCGTCCCGGCTGTGCAGTGTCGAGGAAGTATCAGTGCCTTGGCCGCTGTCGCCAGACCAGCGGTAGGAACTATAAGGTGGCCGCCTGTTATGCTGGGCTATATTCTCAACAGAAACCGGGAGAAACGCCGCCCTCTCGCCAGCTGGAGCTGAGGATTGCTTGCCTCTCCGCGAATAGGCGAACAACAGGCTCGCAATGACCTGTGCGGTCATGATCCAGGTTGCGATCCAGCCAATTCTGTGGTGGGCATTGTGCACGTACAAATCCGGAGTGTTGACGTTGTACACAATCCCAAACAGCAGCCCAAAGCCGTTAACGATCAGGAAGAGAAATTGGACTGGAAGAGCGAGTTTCGATCGAGCAATGCTGAAAATGGCGCCTACTACGGTCAGGAACATTTTGTCTCGCCACATTACCTCCTGGCCAACTTACCAATTGGAAGAATGAAAAGCCATGCTAACACCATTAGGACAATATGCGCTGTGATCATATTCTGGTGCTGGCCCAGGCCGGCGTAGCTGGGCATGCTATATGGATCGTTCTCGTCCCCGCCGTTCTGAGGAGTTTCCGGCTTCTTCATATCCATATCATGGTTCTCCTCATCGTGACCATGAGCCAGTACAACTGAGGCGAGTTGGAGCAGCGCTGCTGCAATGGCCCATCTCGACAGACCCATTCGGCTCGCACTTGTTTGGAAGGTCTCCAATGCTCCTTCTGTTACACCGACGCCCACCTGACTTGGAAGCTCGGTTCGTTCAGGAAGTGAGGGTGGGGTTAGGAATCAACGGCAGGCAGGAGGACCGAATGCGACCCGGGAGGGGAGGAGGGTGTGACAGTGAGGGGGACGACAGCGAGGTTGGTTGGCACGAGGCAACGCGGCGCGAGGGATCAAACACCAAGGGGAGGGTGGTGTTAGTGCACAAGAGGGCAAGAGTTCAGTATAGAGAGAGAGAGAGAGAGAGCAAATACAAAGACTTCGCACATGCGGCGGTCACGGGAGACTATAAAAGAGTTTTGAGGGCGGTCTTGGAGGCCAGCGCGCGAGTCATCGGATGAGGGCGAGCGCGCACACAGGCATCGCGCCAGGACGGGGACGAATAGGTCAGCAGAGCAAAAGCTTTTGCAGCCATGGAGATGGAGCATGCCATCGACTGTTGGCATCAGTTCGACGCATCTTGGGGGACTGGTGGCCGGATTTCTCGGATGCGCGAAAGAGTGGTGCTGGTGGTGCGTATTGTAGCTTGCAGCCCACTTTGGCTCTTCTTATCGCCGCTCGGAGGGAAATCGAACGAGGCGTCAAGAAGTGACAAGGCCCGCAGGTGCAGTAGCTCCAGAGAGCCCTGGGCACCCTTGACCTCAGCGGCGCACCCATTGGCGGCCTCCCGGAACGGCCAACAAGAGCCCACAAGAGCCCAACGAGGGCGACCGAAGAGCTATTAGGGCCAAGCCCGGGCCCTGGAACATGGGAGAAGAGCGTATTCTTACTATTATCATATATTATTTACTTTTTTCACAGGGGGAAGGTTCTCTAGCTGGAGCGGACCACCTCGGCGTACTCGCCAGCTACAGGAGATGTCTACTCGTACTCGTAATACTGTGGACAAGAGGGTAGCAGCCAAGCAAGAGAGGCACGTCAGACCCCAGGCAACCTCGCTCGCAAAGATATACCTAGTATTCGCTTACCCAGCGAGCGCTTATGGGGTAAACGTCATGTACCAGGACTGGTACGAGGTGTTGCTGAGCGGAGAACAGGTAGAGCTGTTGGCCCAAGCTCTACAAATATTACAAGTTCTTTTCCAGGCTCTAGAGCCCATACTCAATGTAGTACTGTCGAAGGAGCTCAAATTCCCTCAATATGCTGGTGCGAGGTGTGGATCCCACCGGGAAGGATACTTCCTCTTTAGCCTCCGCCGCCCTGTTACAGACTTGCGGTCGATTTCTTGTAGACTGCTGACAAAAAGGGCGACGAGATCGGATCCTTTGCCAGAGCCGCGATCAGCGCGCCGAATTCGACACCATCTGCTCCCTCCGTTCTCTTAAAATTTGCACGGCTTCATCCTATACCCGAGTCGGAATATTGTTTGCTTCTTGCCATGACCCCCTTCCGCGTCAATGTCTTGTCTTTGCTGAGCAATTCCGCCCTCTGCACGTTCGTTCCCATCATCATTCCAACTCCTTCACATGATGTCATGATCGTGTAGACGACTAGAGTTTTTTAGGAGAATGAGGTGTCTGAAGTGTTCTTCCGAGCCATTCCGTGGCCCCAGACGCCGAGGATGGATCTGGTGACGGCGGTACTGGACGCTTCGTCAGGCACGGGACTCGTTCTTTTTGCGCGGTGTGAAAAGGTACTTTGGCTGGAGACGGGGTTTGCCGAGTAGCACCCGGGCAACTAGGCAGAGAGTGTGGTGTGAGATGTGGTCTATGACTGGCCTGGCAGGATCGAGATCGCAAGATTTAGATGTTGGTCTCAAACGGCAAACAGCAGTGACCGGTGGTGGAGGAGCGGTGACTCAGCGGATAGCTTCTCGGACATCTTGGGAGGAAGCTGACAGGTGCACCAGGTGCACCAGGTGGTTCTCGTACAAGGACGGCAAATCCAGTGGCTGGAAATACACAACAAAAGATTCCGCACATGGTGGGGGTTTGACTTTATCCTGCTGCTTTTGACAGAGAGGGAAGCCACAGCGCCAGCCTCGCACTTTCTTTGCTCGTACGATGTACTCGCCAGTTGGGAGACTCTTTGCCTTTTTGCGCTCACAGGTACTCGGTAGTGCTTTACGAGTTGCATCGAGTGTACCTAGTTCTCAGTACTTCCGTGATTTCTGATTGCCATTCGCACACCATCTGCACACCATCTGCCAAGCAGTATTTGTTCTATTCCTCTCTCCCAAGGACCCACCACCATGCTGACCGTGGACCTCATACGCCTTTCTATTACCGATTGGAAATCAATCCTCGGCGGGGAGACTCTCTGTTCCTCGCTTATGGCTATCGATTTCGTCCGTGTCACCTTCTGCTGACTTCTACGAGCCTCCATTCTTGTTCCTCGCGCCTTGCCTACCCGCCCGCCATCCTCTCGTCTCGTCCACTCTGCTCCCCGGCCAATCACTTCCACCACGCCACACCCGAAAATGGGTGTATTACTAGAACCAGTTATCGGTCTTCTCGGCCGCTGTTCTAGCCTGACATGGAAAATAAGTTTGTCTCCCACAAGGAAACATCTGATCTACAGAGTCCCTGATTTGATAATCCAGTAGCCTGAAACAGCCCAAGCTAGCGAGTGGTCTACCTATCTGAGGCACCCAGGCTTGTTGTCTCCCTGAGAGTCCTCCTATGCCGGACCGAACACAATCGCCGACCCAGATGTGTCACCGCCAGGCATGTCACAGTATTCTCGTGCAAAGTATTGACCTAAAAGTCGCCGGGAAAAGGCCTAGAAAAATTTGATCTCGATCTCTCTTGTCATCAAGTCACACATTTTTGATCCACTTTGGTCGCTACTGCAACATGCCTGGAGAGAAAAAGCTTCAAGAGTTCGGTTCAGCGAATACTCCACGGCTTCGAAAAAATAATGGAAATGGCGACCTTCTTTTTTCGGCCGACTGTTCTGACCGAGGCTCCGAGCCTTGGGCGTGTCTGGGTTTCTAATGCCGTCAAATCCGCTAGCTCCTCCTCCCTGGACAACGGTACCTTATGCTCTAAACGACTGGGCGATGGTGGGCACATCAACACCGTCGAGGGCCCCCGCGCCCCTTGCCCCTCCTCCGGAAACACTGCAGGCCCGGACGTTAACCCACCGACTCGTGTAGTGGTTAGAACTGCACGTAGTCACAAGGACGCCGTCTTGTCGATCCCTCATTCGCTCCCGAGTTAGCGCTACGGCTGACCGCCCTGCATAATATTTTATGCACATCATGGATCGGTGATCTTCTTCCAAAGGCATATGAACTTCAGAATCCTGTGGGACTAAACTGGCAACCGTTTCCCGGCGACCACCATGCTAATGCTAACTAGACAGGTAAGGTGTTGTTGAATCCCATCTTGGTTTACTAGAGATGCCATTATCAAAGAGATTCAAAGACATGTCTGCTTATCGCCTTCAATACCTGGTTCCCTACAAGTCAGTGCACTATCTCTACCAAGTAAAGTCAAACGAACCTCCCCTGATGTATCACGAGATTTGTGTTTCATAGGCACTACGGGGGAGGATTCAATAAGTCCTTGTACAAGTGCTATACCAGGGTACTAATGCAGCAGGGATACAATGGGCGCAATTCATTCATCCGATGGATACTTGGACAGCTACTTGTAGCACGAAGCATATGCAAAGAAAACTTTTCCACCAACAAACAGTACAGGCTCTGCGGCATGTTAGGGCAGCAAGGGGTTGTACTTGTTGTACTTGTAATCAATTCGACGGACCGACCGATCGAAACGGGTAACGCCATGTATGCAGGCAGACTTGAATTGCTGGTGAACATACATAGTTGTACGAGGCACATACATTTTCTTTTCCAGCTGGGAACCTATGTATGTCTGTATGTACTTGCAGTGCCCATGTTCCGAACCTGAGTGCCTGAGTGCCTGGTAGTGATCGGCACTAGCGCCAGCACCCCTTGTTTATTTCTCTGCTTTCTTTCCGCGTAGTTGTACTTGTACTTGTATGTTTTGCTCATGTCCCAGTTCTTGTCCCAGTTCCTGTCCCAGTCCCATGCCGACGCCGACGCCGACGCCACCCACCGGTGTGCAAGCCCGAAAAGGCAAGCCCAAGAAGGAAAGTAGGAAGGTAGGAAGGTAGGCACATACAAATATGACATCCCTTTACCATCACCATTGCGCGCTGTCGTCATGGCCGCGGTCAGCGACTCAGATCTTCTCGAGACTGCGCAAGCTGTAGAAGAGGAGATAGGCCTCCTGTCTCAAGACGTCCTCGGTGGTGGTCGCGCTGACAATCTCATCGTCGAAGCGGAACCACTTGTTGTCCTGGCGACAAAAGGCAAAGTAATGGCCGTTCTGGGCGTGCTCGCCCTGGTGCACGACGACGCAGTCGAGGTCGTACATGAACTCGCTCTCCTTTCTCGCCGCACTGCCAGGACTCGTACTGGAACTCGACGCCTTGGTCGAGGACGAAGAACTCTTGGGCTCCTTGTCCTTTTTCTCGACCTCGCCGCTGTCTTTCTTCTCTTTCTTGACCGGCTCGGGAACCCTGGTGGGCGGCCGTGTGGTGTATGGAGCCATGTCGAGATGCAGGCCAAAGTCGATCTTGCCTTCGTATTTCTCCGGCCCAAAAACCCCGGCGGCGCTCTGCTTCATCCCGAACCGCTTGACGTGCACGCACAGGATGGCAGGCAACTTCCGGATGCGGGTCTGCTTGGATGCAGACCGTCGCGCGTTGCAGTTGTTGCACTTGTATTGATCGGGTGAGAGGGGTTCGGGTGCCGTGAACGCCCGCAGGCAATCTTGGATGGTTGGGATGGTGATTTTGAGGTCCGCGGCCTTGTCCTTGTTGGAGCCTTTGGCTCCTTCGCCTTTCTTTACGTCCTTGTCGTCTTTGCTCCCCTCGTTGCCGCCAGTGTCTTTTGATTCCTTGGTACCGCCGTCTTTCGGCCCCTTCTTCCTCTTCTTCATTTGTTTCTGGAAATCTAGTGAGATGCTTGAAAACTCATCCTCCCGACTTGACACGGTGTGGCACGTGTCACAGGTGATCTGACTGTTGTAACGTCCGTAGAAGACTTTGTGGAAGAAGCAGATGCATTGCTTGTCCAGTGTCGCTATCCCGTTGGCCTGGTTGGTGGCGTGGGATTTGTTTTCGGACGACGGGACGTACTGGGCCACCCCTTCGTGCAGGCGGTCAACGATGCACATGAACCATTCTTGAGCGTCTTGCTGCCCCTTGCCAGACATTTGCTATTCACGTAGAATGAGAATCAGGAATCCTCAACAGCTGAACCAGGAAGGGGAAGGAGAGATTGGGGGACGGGGAACAACTACATACCGGAATATTCTTCCACGAAGCAAACAAGAGATTGACAGCGTGGGCAGGAAGAGGCTGATCCACCATAGTGACATCGGAAAATAGCTCGGTCATGCCACAGGCAACGCAAGTCTTGTGCTCTTTGTTCTGAGAACCTTCTGCCGACCCGTCATCTTCATCGTCGTCGTCAGAATCGTTCTTCTCCTTCTTGTCAGGCTCCTTGGAAATCGGACATGTATGGATCGGGTGACCCATCCCTAAGAAATAGCTTGCCAGCAGGGAATTGTGCACCATCATCTGCAGCACGGCGTTCATGTAGCACGTCTCGCCTAGATTGAACAAGCCGCGAACACCGGTCCTGCCACACGGCCGCTGGGAGGTGTTTGCTGTCAGATAGGAATCGTCCTCCCCGTCGTTGGACTCTGAAATTTTCCTCTTCACTCCGTTGACCTTGCTGCTGATGCTGCTGCTTTTGCCGGTGCTGATGACTAAGGCCGGATCGTAGATCAGATCATTACAGTTACCACAGTACACAGAGTTGTGAGAGACGGCGAACCCATGCTGGGTCTTGGAGAGGTGCTTGTTCAGTGCCGTGAAGCTGCCGGAGAAAGAGCATGCGATACAAGAGTATGTTGCAAAGTCTGGGTCCAGCTGGTTGTTGCTGGTTTCGCGAAAGGCGTTGATTTTAGTGGTGGCTTCGGTATCGAGATGCTCACAGCCCGCTGCGGGCATGCACTGCGTAAGAGCCATGGCTATCAAGTCTTTGTTTGAGAAAATGTTGATGGATGATGGTGGAACGGGGATGAGGTCGCTATATATAAAAAGAGTGGGTTGTTGGAGATGTTAAAGTTCAGGAGAAACGGAGCAGGGGAGATGGCTTTAATGGTAAGGCATCACTATAAGGTCTGATTGTTCCTGATTGTTCCTGATTGTCCCTCAATAGCTGTCAGTGGGGACGCTGACTTTCGTCCATTTGTGAATACAAGGACAATAGCGACCGGGGCTATTGTGAATCGAGTTGTGGTCGACAAATCAAGGAAATAATTTTGAATGTGAAGTGATTACATTTGCGCGACGAGGCCCCTGTGCCCCGCACTAGAATTACGGTGGGTCATGAGCTCAGCCTCGCGCCACAGCCTTGCATGTCAAAGGTCTAGACCCTGTGATTCTTGAGCCGCAACCAACCATCTATCTCCACACAGCTGTGCCTGAAACTACATCTCGCTTCTCCTCGTCTCCTATCTCGAGGCCGTCCTTCTTCGTTGCTTGCTGCATCTGTTTCAACGCCATACAAACATTGACTCGGGATCGAAAGGAGACTTCCATTAACAGTGGCTTTGCACAAATCTAAGTCACCCGCAGATCCCTCCGTCCGGGTCCGGTCCAAGACTTCAGAGTCCCTTTTACCCGTCTCCAGATTCTTCGGGTTTCCCTCCTCGCGCGTCGATTTTTGTATTTTTATGCCATAAAGCCCGACCTACACCACGACACGAAGGATGTCATCGACGAAGACCTCAAATATGTCCCAGTACATCCCATCGGAAATGACCTCGTACTGAAACAAATCTAGCTGACGGACGCGAGGAACAGGAGTGGAGGTTGGCTCACGGGATAACGAGCTGTGACAGCGATATGTGTTGCGGATGTGTGCCTTCGGTGTTTAATGCCTTGATGGGGTTCGTGGACAGATCATATTTCTTTCGGCTGGTGTCGGAAAGGGTTTGTTCTTGAGAGATAATGGTATCCCGTAGTTGTGCATAGTGAGGACAAGAGCTGGAAGAACACCACTGCCTAGACAGATCTTCATCCATAAATTTCATCCATGGGAGAGAAACATTAGTATCTCGGCGCGGTAAAAAGCGCACTAATGGAACATCTCGGCGGCGACAACAGGTCATGATGCGTAAGACTGGCACTCGAGGACATCGTCTCCTACTTGCTCCCCCTCGCTCGACCGCGTGGTAGACCGCTTCCTCTTGACCCCCGGGGGCCGACAGTGCCTCGACCTCCTCGCATTCCCGCAGCGGCGCCTCCACGGCCGGCAGGTTGATGGTTCTGTTTGATAGTCGAGGAAGTGCCGGGTGTTATTGACGGGGCCATGCTTTTACGACGTGGAGTTGCCTTTAGGCTTGCGAAACTTGCATCCGCTGCAGTCATGAAAGTGGCGTCGCCACCCCCGTCGCCGGGTCGAGTATCACCAGTGGTATTGTTTTGCACCGTTGTCGACTGATCATCCAGAACTCCCTGGCCTCCCTGCTGACGCTTTTGCCAACGCTTAATTGACTCTGTGATTGGAGCCTGCCGCGAAAAGATTATTGTCAACTTCGTCCCAGCAGCGGCGCTATTGTGACAGCCGCAACAAAAAACAGGGGATACATGCAACTCACCTCTGGAAAATCAACAACAAAGGCATTCATATTCAACCCGTACAAAAAGCTAGCAAAGCTCTCCCCGAACCGACTGAGACTCTCGTGCATCAGTTGTAAATGCATCAAATTCGCCTCCAGGTCAGCCATTGAGTCACTCAACTCCGCAAATTGCGGCTCTAGGGAGTCGAGTGGCAGCCCAGGCCCTGTGAACACTCCGTTATTCTGGTGGATGGAGGCACGTAATGAGGAGCGAGACGAAGGCCGGAGAGGAGTTGTTGGTCTCGAAGTGGGAGAGCGCGATCTCGTTCGTCCGGGCAATTGTGATGTAGGGCGTGACTGTGACATCTTGTTTTCCTGACTGAGCAATAGGCCCTGTTTAGGTGCTGATGTTGACACTGAGTCCCTGTACATAGGCACCGAGTACAAACGATGAACCTGCGCGATGGTCCGCATTTCAGAAGACGTGTCTGCATCCGCCAATCACAATCCACAATTTTCGTGCCTTCGGAAAAACATGTTGTAAAGGTTGTTCCGGCGAGGCTGGCTGGCTGGCAAGGCTGGCAATTGATACCTACAGGTGATGATAAAAGGCATGCTCGTGGCAATAAACAAAGCTTCCTAAAAGCTAAAGGACTGTATGAGATACTCCAGGAAACAATTACATTGTGGCGGAGCTCTAAAGACTAGCTGCCGTCACCGAACACGACACTACAGAGATCACTGAGGCCCTGAGATCCGTCAAACCCTGGCTGACCGAAACGCCAGGTACACAGTCCGTGGTTTTACCCGAATATATGCGCGTTGGATCTTCAGGAGCTTCAATCCTATCCCTGAATCCTGTCCTGTCGAGGTTTCTCGTTTGCTGCACTCTCAGGAATCCCGCTGTAAGGCACACAAGACGCTTTCCTCCACTCAGATCCCGTCAAAATCACCACCTGGTGCGTCATCATCATCCATCTCTCCTTCGACAATCTCCTTTGCAAGCTCACGCTCGCGTTCACGCGCCTCTTGAGCATTCTTGAGTTCTAGTCTATGTTGATTCATGGGGAAACGCATAGCCTGTTTGGAAAGTTAGCAAAAGGATCAACTTGCGTTTTGAGATCAATGTACCTTGACACTCTCATCGTGCAAAGCTAGGCAAGCTTGTATACGCTCATGAAACGCGTCACCGGGTTCCCTGGTAGCGTATACATCTCCCACTTCCTTGCTCTTCATGTACCCACGCTCGTGATCCAGGCTGGCCTCGATGACCCCGTCGCGAATCGCCTTTGCCACGATGTATTCCGCGGACTCTTCGCTGTCAAGGCCAAGCCGCAAACACATATCGCGCAGAGAGATTCTTGCATATGACAAAGACATCATGCGAATGCCGGTTCTGATCACATTCTGGCGCAGTCTCAAAATAAGCGTGTACGTATCATCTTTTCTAAAGGTGGCATTGTACCGCTGAACCAAGGTCTGGAACCCGATCACATCTCCAGAGCTGACGGCTTGCACAAGTTGAAGATATGGCTGCAATGCTTTCTCCAAACTAGGCTGGCGGAAGATCGCACGATCCGGAATATCTCCCATCAAGAGTTCAACCACAATAAGCATTTTGGTCGAGGCTTGATAGAATCCACTGGCTTTGTAGGATGTTGGCGACTTCCGCGTTGCTCCAATTAAGTGCTCGTGAGCTTCTGTGTACGAAAGTTGAATTGCCCGAATGCGGCCAAGATAGTACAGATACCTGGCAATCTGATTGTTGGCAGCGGTGGGCGGGAATTTGGTGTGGGATATCAAGAGATCGGCCTGGGTGACGTGAGAGGTGGAAAGGTAATTCCGCAGAAGAAGAGTCGTGACTGCGGCTTGAATGTCCTGATCTTTTCTCAGTGTCGCAGTTCGGAGAGCATCAAGAAGTGGTTTCCGGATCGACAAAACCGCAGCGGCAGGCGAGGGAGGCAGGGGCGCCAATTCTTCGAAGAAAAGCGCATAGTAGAAATATACCCGAGCCGAGAGCGAATCCAAAGTCCGGCGATTCAATGTTCGGAGATGTTCAACCAGAGCGCTCGAGAATTGGGCGCCTGCGTTGATTGATTTCTTATCGTAGAGGTGAACTTGAACCAAGATCGATAGGTAGACGTCGACTTCAGGGAGTATCTCCTTGTGCGAGCCTTTTTGTTGCACTGTATCCCTCTTGCCATGCCATTCCTCAACTTGTTGAGCGGGAAACGACGGGTCGTCCTTGACGGCGCTTAAAAGGGACATTGCGGTCGCGGTGGGTGTTGCCCAAGTTTGGGTGACAACAGAGGCTATCACATAAGCAGACAAATGTTTTCGGATGGAAGATATGGAACGGAGGACTCTCAAACTGAATCGAGGATCAAACTGGCTGACAGCGCGTTCCAGCAATGGAAGATTGGCCTTGATTTCTGGAGCAACGTGAGTAACACATCTTCAAGAGCAAAGGTCTTGTGCATCTTACCCTCGATTGCCTTTTCTTGAGGATCGACCCCTTCTTTGCCCTCCTTTTCCCCGTCATCATCTACTGCTCCATTCGTGAGATCTGCATCGGTAGCTTTCTGAGGTGCGCTCGGAGTGTTGGCGCCCTTTGCAGGGGGAACGACAACCGTCATCTCGTCATCGCCATCCTTCTCCTTTGCTTGTTTTGGCGCCCTCTTGGAATTCTTGGAATCCTCCTTCATTTCGACGTCGTCCGAGCCATTGATGCCATTTCGGGTAGGATCATTGCCGTTGAGATGGGGTTTGTCGCCGCTCATATCTTCGGCGGGAGGTGGAAATGTTGTGCTGAGAAACGAACTGGACCGGTGAAGGAGTAGATTCAAGCTGAAACAGGCGTATGGCTGATCGTTTGTTGTGTGGAGTTCTTCTGTACAGGAAGGAGGATTTATATCAGGGCAAGATTCGGCGATTCAGTTGGCATACGGCCCAAAGTTTCAAGATCCTTGCCCACCTCCAATCACAAGTTCGTTGATGCAATCGACCTTCTAGGGTGTGTGATTGTGATACACCGTCGAGGAAGAAATGTCGAACTTGAGAGGAGAATGCTTGGGATGATGTATGGGTTGGTTTGAAGTCACGGAAGTTTTGGGTTGGAATGGAGATGGAGATGCAGTCAGTTACCAGTGGTCATTTCTGACCTTTCGATGGCGCTTGCTGTCCATAGCGCAGCCGCAGTTCGCCAGGCACAACAGACAGACGCGTTCGGGTGCCTCCCCACACCCGCCACAAACTAATCACCAACACTTTATCATTAGAACCCATGATGCATGTACAAGACGCCTTGACGGCGTGAATGCTGTACATTCTTGGGTACTACATATGCTGTCAATATCGTGGCCTCTTCGTAGCCTGTGACTGCAGTCTATAGCAGCGTGGCAGCTGAGAGGATCAAGACTGGGACACGTGCTTCCACATCTCACAGCAATATGGCTCTTCTTGCAAGCCATCTGGAGCAGATTTCTCTATCTGCCAAGTCTATATCTGAGCTGGAGTATGCATACAATATGACTTTTCTGATTCTCCTTCGCTGACAAGGCCGCAGATTTCCTCCTCCTAAGATCTTTACAAATGCTCTACTCAATAACCAGGAGATTACAACCTTGATTCGCGACACGGAACCTCACGAGCGTGCGCTCTTCTCAATCGACCCCAACGCTGTCAATAGAAGTCGTCCACAGAATGGCTTCCGTCCTACAGACACAAAAAATGGTCTGCAAGGTCGTAAAAGTGGGCTTCCTTTGGCGCATCACATGAAACATTCCGCGGTCTCGACGCTACTGGGCAAAGAGATGCTTCAGGAGATCAGACAATCTAGCAGTGGACGATCTCGTGAGGGAGTCAATGTTGAAGTTCTCCTCCGAGGTGCAGAACGGCTCTGCGAGGTGTACACCGTGGCGGGAGCAAAAGATAGAATCCGAGCCCTCCGCACCCGTCACCGAGAAGTTGCTGGCTCCATAACAATACTTGAGGACAAAGTCTCCAGGCAACAATCCCTTCTAGAGAGCGCAAACCGGGCGTCCAACCCTGAAGAAATATTGGATGAGAATGATCTGGGGCAAGACCTCAGTAAGTTCAATGATACGCCGAACTTGACGGGCGAAGATTTCCAGCTCGAAGAGGAAGAGATACGCCTATTGGAGGCCAGGAAAAAGACCTTGGAGGAGCGCGTCGCCGGTATGGAAAGAGACCTCGGTGGGCTTTTGAAGTGAGGGTGCACATCTTGAAGCCTGACATCTTCACATGAGCACCCCATCAGAGAAGGACTGTATCACCTCAAGCCTAAGGGGACTGCTGACAGGAGTGATGTCGGACGATTGGCCACCCGCGTCACTTTGGGCGACGAGAGGGCTACTCCGAGCAGCTTTGTATGCCATTGGCATCTCCGTTGTGTCCTGAAGTTTTCGCAAACTGGTCGCTTTCCCCGAAACTCGCCAGTTCTCGAAAAGCCTGGCTCTGTTGCACAAGCAATCTCGGTCGAGTATCAGCGGTCATCATACAGCAGACAATATGGCAGCAAGACATTCATTGAAACCACCAGCACCTGCTTTCAGCGGCGGTCATATGAACAGGAGCTTCTGCATCAGCTTGTCGTCAACTGACCTTCCAGAGGAAGATCTCGCACTGTCCTCAACAATTTCGCCTCGCCGGGTTTCTGCGGTACGTGGCATGTCATGCCGCTCAAGAGCAAGAGGGACGTGCACTTTCGGTTGTGAGCAATCCTCTACTCCTTTTCAACATTTTCAAAGGTCTGACTCCACCTTTTGCGCTCCAGCTAAGCCGGACAGTTAAGTTGCATCTTGCTATCAGAAGCTACTGAAGCCACGCTTCTTTGGTGGGGCACGTAGCCTCTGTTTTCGTCCAGGCTCTGGCATCTGTGCCATCAAATCAAAGAGGTCGAACTTCGCTTCTTGGAGCAGGAGAATGGCGGGGGCTTCGTCAATGGCTGGTTGAAAGCGGGCAAGCTTTTCTGGGAAGCAGAATCCGCGGGAACTTATGTACAAGAACAAATACCTACTCGTGGATGAAAGAAATCTGAATGCATACTTCAGGGGGCGGCCGCCATGTACGGTACTACCTGGGTACTGTGTGGAACGGTAGAAAAGAGTAAGGTGCGTCTTCGAACCATACCTACTAGGTATTTAGGACCCAGGACTGGTATAGACCCTGTCAAGGCAACGAATAAACAGTTCAACTAGATTCCCCAGCTGTGGACATCTGGGGCTCTCTGATAGCTCTGGCGCCACTTAAGACCAGGGGGACGCAGATGGATGGCCGTTGTGAGAGGCCACTGGAAGTGGGTGTCTTCCTTGTAAAGCCAACGAGAGCAGCAGCCAAAACTCGGAAACCTGCGAACAGGTGTGCACTAAGACAACAGGCTTGTCCCCAGCTAGTTAAAGAACGCATGCAGCTGTGACAGAGGGACCAGTAGCAGGCCCAGATATCTTCCCCTTAAGCACACCAGAGTTCAGGGCCCCCGATGTGCAATTGGGCGCTGGGCTTGGGCCCGCAATGGGCAGCATCCACAGCAATGGGTGTCAAACGTGAAAAAAGGGAACCCCATGTCCGGATTGAAACACCAGCCCCGAAAAGCCCAGCATTCGACGCAAGCCAGCAATCAAGCAGTCACTCACTTGTTTCTGTTCAGTCCGCCCTCACCGACGCTGCTTGACATCTTAATTGCGCCTGACCTTCTTTGTTCAATCAAGTCAAAGCACTCATTCGACTGGCAGCGACAGCGACAGCGCAGCTCGTTCTTCCACAGTTGTTAAACAGGGGGAGACTGAGCTTTGAGCCTCGAAATTTCCCCCAACTTCTCAACTGCGGAGCGGAACCGATTGTTCGTTACCCAGTCCATCGTTTGCGACCGCCGCCTCCAGTCGCAAAAAAAGCCTCACAGGCGTCTCAATTGAACCCAACATAGCGACAGTCAAAGAGCCTGGTCTCAATACTTGAACATTGCCTTGTCGACTTCTCGATTGCTTCGAGGATTGAATCGAATCTTGACAGACTGACTTCGGACTTGCAGAGTTTCGTATCAACTCAGACAACCTCATGGATCACTGATTGGTCTATTGCAAATTCCTTGCGCTGCCTTCCGCGACCTCTCATCCCATTGCCTGTCGCCTTCCTTTGTATCGCCGTCTCACCAATATGGCGCAACTACGGAGCATGGGTTCAGGAACTGACGTGCTTTCCATGTCTGCAAAATCTACAAGAGCCACTCTACCGCATGCATCAGCGCCTCCTTCATATGTCTCTGTCGCCGAAGCCGAGAAGTTGGTCTACGCGGAGATTGATCGTCTAGTCAAGATTTCAAATAATGCGGTTGCCATGCTCAATGGATTTCTGGATCAGATACTCTATGACATCCTCTCCAAATCGCAATCGACAGCATTGGGAGCGGTCCGAGCTGCAGTTCCGCTGGTCTTGAAACAGAGACTGGGACGTGCAGCTATAAAGGCTGCTGACGAGGAATTACAAGACTATTTGGATGAAGACGAACTGGAAAATATCCAAAACCACCAAGCCATCCTTGACCCCAAAGCCGAATTCGATGTCGATCTTGCTTGGAAACTCACCAGGCTGCGCTGCATGGTTTATGCAAAGCTAGGTGACATGGAGGAAGAGGACGAAGAGGATTACCTGGAAGGTGATGATGTGAGGGACCATTTAAGTCAAGTAAAAGAGGCATACAGGTCTTCTGCAAGAATCTCCCCACACTCTGCAATCTTCCTATCCACCGTCCTTGAGTTTCTCGCCGAGCAGGCTCTATGTATAGCAGCGCAACATGCGAGACGGCGAGCAATGTACCTCAAGGACGCGGGTCGAGAAACCGCTCCAATCCAGCACCACGCAGAGCCAGACGGAATTTTCTTGGAAGAGATAGATATGTCAGGCATCGGCAAAGAAGGGCCTCTAATACGACTTTGGCGGTCATGGAAGGGAAGTGTCCGGACTGGTGGCAGCATGTCCTCACGCCCTACGACACCCAACGTTATGTCGCCTATCAGCTCTGAATCTCCCATGCACGAATGGAAATTCCCTTCCGCACCAGTGATCCCGCCAATTCAGGAAGAAGGGAGTCGATCCGTTACGCCAGCAAACGTACCTCTACCGATGACTGAGAATGATGTCAATGAAATAGAGGTGCCGGGGTTGGCGCGTACTTTCGAAGAGTTGGAGAACAACGAGACGCGTCCTAGTCTTGGAGACCGACGGCCCACGAGTATGTTAATCATGCCTGGGCAATTCCCAAGTTCGGCAGCGGCCGATGAACATCCAGACAGGCCACGCCCGAGCAGAAGGAGGTCCAGATCGGTACCTACTTCGAAAGCTTCTTCCGGCGCACAGTCGATGTCTCAATCGGAACTCGCTCCATCTCGACCTATAGGTGGATCTAAGGATGATATGGACCTCTCGGAGAAGCTCGACGAGGATACTCAATCGCCTCAGGGGGAAGGCAGATCTGGTTTGCGTTCAACTGCAATCGGTGCCACTGTTGCTACAATCGCTGGCGCGCTGAACATAGAGGCAGCAAAAGCTCTCCGGAGAGATCGACCGAGCTACGAGTTCGCTTCGCCAGTTTCGGCTGAATCTACCAGAGAAGAACAATTGCCAAGCAACAGAGCAGATGACTTCGAACAGACACATAACCCAGTGTCAGGGATTGGCATGGCTGTGGTGGAGGAAGAGTCACAGGAAGCTGCAGTCGATCCGGAAGACCTGGCTTTGAGCTCCAGCGATGGTGAAGGAGACCAGATCGGAAATGATCACACCAATCCCAGGGATTCTGGGTTCAGCGTTGCTGGACCCGGGGATACTATTCATGAGCATGAGCAAGAGGATGCCACGGACGAAGGAGAACACGTGGTCGCACACAACTATGACCCTAGACTAGCTCAAAGAGAAAGTGCGGCTGCTAGTCGAACTTCGAGGTATTCGAATCTGGGATATGCTACGATCTTCCAAACACCGGATACAATAAGCTCAGGCTACAGCAATGCGAATTCTACCGGCTCGTTTGTGCAGGGAATGGCGCCTTCCCAGAACCCTGGTGTTAACTCAACTACCACAACACCAAGCACAACATCTACATGGCCAGCAGTCATTCCAAATAGGGGATCCTCCTTGGACCATCAAAACACCGAAGGTGTGCGAAATGAACCACGAGTCCCTCAACATCCCCCACCACCCTATCATTCAGCGGAAGACCAAGAGGCGGCGGAAAACCCACAAGAGTTACACTCGCGATATGCGACCTTGGGCATGACTACGCAGAACGGCCGCGCAAGAAGCGAAAGTGCGAACGGAAGACCATCAACATCAGGTTCTGGAACAGTTCGACGGCAACACATTCGGCTTCGTTCAGATAACGAGGAAGGGTGGCCACGAGAAGACTTTGATAGAACGAAAAAGAGTCTTGATCTCCTGATTGACAGCAACGAAACACTCCATTATACTCTGACGCCTGCTTCTGCCAATGTGGTATGTAACACCATGAAGTCTACCTTGCCACGCGCTGACATAGTTTACAGGGAGGAAAGTTCAAGGTGAAAAGCCAGACGCAGGAATTGGCAGACTTCTTCCGAACCACCGCGCCTCCGGGAGAAGAAGTGCGGCCGAAGTCATCTCGTTCTGCAAAGGATGGCCTCCGAGCAAACCCTACTAATTCAATTTCAGCCAAGTCATCCCATCCTCAAATGCCTAGCCAGCAATCTACTCCCTCGCCTTCTAAGCCGAGGAATCGTCTGGGTGAACCGCGTGAAGCGCGGATGGTGCGAAACAATACTCGAGATCTCGCTGATTATGCTCGTTCTACCGGACCGGAAAATGATGCACAGCTTCCGAAATTGCTCGCCGCACGTCCTGCCACCGCTCAAGGCGCCCGGTCGGATCTGTCTCTTAGAGAAAAGGTCTTTGGAGTTGACAGTGACACCCGTCCTAGCACAACATCTGGGAAGTCTTCGACTCGGTCGAAGTACCAGGCTAGAGATGCTAGAGGGCCTCGAACGGCGGAAAGTTCTGATTTAATTGACTTTATCAGAGAAGGGCCTCCACGAGCTGCTGGCGAACACCGCATTGATAGGAGCGTGGCCCCGTTTCGAACAACGATGGATTCTGACGATTTGAACGCGCTGGCACCTCCACCTGAGCTCGACACCAGGGGACGTAACTCTGATGGCAGCGCCCAAGAAAGTGCAATGACGGTCAAATCAATGCCCTCATCAATGAACTCACGCACTGGATTACTGGAATCTACAAATCGTGCGGCCGGGAAGTTCACGAATGGGTTTGGATCCTCTGCAACTGCGATATCGAAACAACCCGTCATTCCCGAGACGGATGGCACGCCCAAGAGGACTCGACCGAAAATCCGAGATCCATACGCGATTGATTATTCTGACGAGGAGGAGGAAGACATGGAAGAGGCATATGAACCGCCCAAGCGAAGGACCGATGAAGAATCACTTGTTGACTTCCTGAGGAACACTGCGCCTCCTCCTGGCATGACGACTCAACCCATTCTTGCTGCAATACCCGGCCCTACTCAGCCGGATCCCGCAAATATGATCAGACAGTCTACTAGCAGCTCCAAGCTGAAAGACCTTCTACCTGGTGGCTCGGTGTCATCGGCCAGGAATAATCCACATGCAAACGGGAACGGTGCAACACCCAACACACGACCAGTCAACATTGCGCGCGCAGAATCTCCACACTTGACGCAGGTAGGATCAAAATTGGACAAATACCGGCCTACAACAACCACACATGCTCCGCATGTCGAGCGAAACAGACAAAAAATGCGTGTCCAACCGAGAGATGCCACTACAAGCTCGAATGGTGGTGGCACTGCAGATCTGGCTGCGTACCTGATGAACTCGGGGCCACCACCAGGCATGAACGAGAAGCCGCCACAGAAACTTGGAGGTGCGGTGCAAAAGGATCAAGCAGGGTTTCTGAAATTCTTCCAGAGGAGAGCAAGTGTGAGAAAGTGACCAGGAAAGTGGACGATGATCTGATGATAGTCCAGAGGTATTCTGCGTTATGCACTGGGTACCTGGGACGTGACAAGAGGTAATGCCATTCGATGCTGTGCTGGAAGGCCATGTATGTTGGAGGAGAGGCCAAAAGAATTAAAATCGCCAAAAGAGTGTTTTTTTCTCTGATGAAGCTGGATAGTCAGATACCCGAACAATCTATTTTGCCATGTAGATTAGCAGTTGAGGGCGCTCGGAGATCCTGTCAATATACACAACATCTTTAACTTATGTAAAATATCCCCTTTATTGCAAGTCGCGTGCTTCACTAATACGATAGTGCCAACGTGTCCGGCCAGGGTTTGTTGGAAAAGGGGCTGCATTCTCACCGCCCACGTGATTCCAGTTTTGTACACAGTTTCTGCCACTCCTGAACATTGAATGAATTTCAGTCTCCAGGGCTACCAATTCTAAACAACTTCCTACACGCTTTCTTCTCGCCTCCTTGCAACACCCGTTTTCTCATTCCCGGAGCCGCAGCGCGGCTTTGGTTTGTTTTCCGTTTCAGTGTTCCGTTGCGCACTTTGTCGTCAACCAGAGTGGTTGTCCGTCTGCACGATGAAGCGCCTCGCAGTCTTCTTCCTCTCCCTCCTCCTATACCCTTACCTTTCTTCGGCACTCAAATTTGACCTCGTGGCCCAACCAGGACACAGTGCCAAAAATGAACGGTGCATACGCAACTTTGTCACAAAGGATACCCTCGTCGTGGTCACAGCAATTGTGAGCGGCAGCAGAGGCGATGGACAGATGGTTAACATGCACATCAAAGACGCTGTGGGGAACGATTACGGTCGACCTAAGGATGTTGCGGGTGAGAAGAGAATGGCGTTTACAAGTTTGGCGGATACCGCGTTCGATGTATGCTTTGAGAACACGTTGACTGGTCGATGTGAGTTGCCCTATTATCCAAGTCCATCATGTTCGGTAGAATTGCAGTATGAGGACTAACAAGCGGATGTAGCTGCTGTTCCCAACCCCACCCGCCATGTTGAACTCGACATCGATATTGGCGCGGACGCTCGGGACTGGTCCGCGATCCAAGCCAACGAAAAGCTCAAGCCTGTGGAAGCGGATCTGCGAAGAATAGAGGAGACAGTCAATGAGATTGTCCAAGAGATGGAGTATCTCCGAATCAGAGAACAAAAGCTACGGGATACCAATGAGAGCACGAATGAGAGGGTCAAATGGTTTGCCTTTGGGACGATGGGAATGTTGGTGGGCCTCGGAGCGTGGCAGGTCGTATATCTGCGGGCTTACTTCAGGTTTGTTTTTCTCTTGTCTTATGTTGCAGTCTTTGATCAGTGCTCACATGTGTTGTTATCCAGGTCGAAGCATCTGATCTAAACTGCTCCTCGAGTGGATATGCAACTCACTCTACGATACTAGAGTCTAATGGTATGAAACGACTGGGAAGGGAACATAAAAGCTCGTGGAAAATCGAGATGGTTGTGTTCGCATGTGCCATTGTATGGAAATCCCAGAAGTACCATCTTGTAATACGAAGAAAAACCTGAGCCACTTACAGCATTAGCCGGATGGCTTGCTCTTGCTCGCTTGGCCTGAAGAAGCTGAGCCTGCTGAGGGTGCATCGGACGAAGTCACCAGGGGCGAGTTTGGAGCTCAAGAGGTGTAAGCATTCTTTGAAGGAGCCTTGCCACTTTGTTCAACCTAAAGGGTCAACCTGGTATCTCCAACCCCTCGAGACATACAGTACGTTTCAAGCCCCTGGATAAGGTGAGGAACATTCGCGCACCGGTCCTCCAATGCAGCTATCACCCGAATTCAGAGAACCTCGTTATACTGCTGAATGGCACGAGAGATGGGTTGTCCTAGTTGTCCTATAGTCTGCCTCACTTTGAGACCGCAGGGCCGGGAAATATTGTCTGTTTGTTCGCTGTGGAAGTATCTTGGTGGGAATCTACATATTTCCCAATCCACCTAGAATCTCTCTCATCACTCTCTTTTCCTGGCCCTTCTTACTCTGCATCAGCCCACGCCATTGCCTCTAGTTCGCGACATTGACACTCCTCTTTCCTCTGACGCATGTGCTCCTTCACAGTGAGCTGAAGAACTCAAGGTCCCATCACCTCCAGAAACATAGGAGGATCACCTGGATGAAATCGGAGAAGAATACCCAGAACCAGTGTCCGAGCACACCCAGAACGCAAATAAAAACCCCAGCCACGTGCCAGCTAAAGCCAGTGCAAGCATGTTTGACGGCGACAATCCCACGTGGCAGGGTGGCGGCGATGAATCCCCAGGCAAAGACCCCGGTCCAGTAGTCGGCAAGGACAGTTCTGAAGGGTGAGCTGCTTGAACATCGCCAAAAAAAAAGATCCCAGAAACTAACGTCGTCAGCACCGAAATCTACTCTTTCGAAGATATTGTCCTAGTCACGGTCGGCGAGGAGAAGGTGAAATTCGGGATCCACAAGAAAATATTGGTGTCACAATGCTCTTTCTTCGACAAGTGCCTTCGCGGAGGTATGAAAGAGGCACAGGAGAATGAAGTCACTCTCTGGGACGACGACCCGAGGGCATTCGGTGTGTTGGCCGAGTGGATGTACACCGGTCGCCTGGACCACTTGCGACGCCCAGGAGGTGTCCTGATCAACGCATACGTTCTCGCCGACAAGTATGGCATGCCCGCTCTTCAGAATGCCATTGTCGATCGCTTCAGGGTGGCCAACTGTTCGGGTCTGAGGAATGTGCTGTGGGCTTGGGGGAGGGTGGCAGAGGGGTCACAACTTCGCAAGCTGTTGGTGGACCAGGTACATTATCAGATCGCGAAAGCCCCAGAAAAATACAGACGGGGCAGCACCAATACAGTGGATGCCTGTGCCGCCGCATTCGAGGAGATTGTCGAGACGAACGCGGAGCTGACGACGGCGTTGATGTGGAAGATGTTCGACCTCAGCGGCCGGACTGGGAGCCGAATCCCTACCAATCCTGCTTCACTTGTTGGCTGCGTTTACCATCTCCACGAAGACGCCAGGCAATGCAAGTGAGGGACGATACAACAAGGTTTTCCCCTTTTTTATCCTAGAATCAGGATCTTCGCAGATCAGTGGGGTTTATGGACCGACTATGTAATGATTCTCGACGATACACGACTTGTGGAAGGATCTTGATGGCTTGAGCCCGCCAGGATTAAACATATATTGCTGTATTACGAGGTACTTTGTAGGCATCAAGCTGACCAGAAACGCAGCCTCGTCTCGTGGTTGAGAATGAATCCCAAATCGGGAGGATATTTTGGACTAACTATATCGTCATGTCGCACAGACCAGCCACAACTTGGACTGTTTGAGGCGCACCGCAGCCTCACCATCACCACAACCTCAGACACACAAAGGGTGAAACGCACCTTCTCAACAAATATATTGAGGAACCCCCCGACCCCCGGGATCGACTTTGCTGCATTCATGATGAAGTGACTCCTGCTTTCCTCCATCTCATTTGCCTTGGTCTGTTTCTTCCCCCGTAGCGCCGCAATTCAACAAGGATATACTTACCAACGTGTCCGGACACACTTGTTTGTCAAAAGATTGTCCGACGCCTCGATAACCTTTTCATCTTCTCGTCAATATGCTCCCGCTCAAGCGTCCTGCTAAGGTCAACCTTGAGGATAGCCAAGGAAAGAAGAGAAGGTACGAGAGAAACCCAGAGACAAGAGAGAAGAGAGAAGACGCCGTCTCCCTCCTCCCAACTCAATGAGAAACTGAGAGAGACTTCTGTGCTAACCAACGAGGGACTACGGATCAGTTTCACCACCACGGACGACATCATCACCGTCGTTGTTGGGCCGAACAATGTGGCACACCTGGTGCACGAGAGCGTTCTGTGTAAGAGCATCTTCTTCAACAAGTGTCTACACGCGGGGATGCGCGAGGAGGAGGAAAAATCCATCACCTTGCCAGAAGACGACCCGGAGGACTTTGCCTTGATCGTCGAGTGGCTGTACTCGGGCCGGCTGCCCCAAGATCCCAAGTGGCGGGACATGATACGCGCGTACAACGCCGCCGTCAAGTTCCTCATGTACGACCTGCAGAATGCCGTGGTCGACTGGTTCCGCGTCGAGCTGTCGCCGTTGACCCTCGACGCCGACGTCGTCATGCACATCTGGGACAACACGCCTGAGGGGTGCGAGCTGCGCCGGTTGCTGCTCGACACGCTGTTCCATGAGATCTTGAAGACACCGATGAAATTCAAATCGGCCCGCGATGCCGACGGCGACGACGACGGCCAGAGGGACATTGTGAGGGACCGCCCCGTCCCTGCCCGCACCGACCAAGACGGCACGTCGGTGGCCGTGATGGACCGGGTCATGAACAGCCCGCAGCTGCGGTTGGAAATGTTCTGGCGCTTTGCCGACCCAGTCGACCGTCCGCCGCCAGAGTATTTCAAGATCGGAGGTTGCGTCTACCATGTCCATGAAGGTCGGCAGAAGTGCGAGAGAGACGACCCCGAGGACACGACGGGACCTGATCAACCTTAGCGTCCTTCCGTGACGATATCGCCTCTTTTTCCTCGGTTCGTTCGCCTGGAAAAGGACAAGAAGAGAAAGGAAGACATTGGTCATGATTCTATCCACATACCTAGGTGGCTATGATTGAGCTGGCTCTCGTTTTTCACCCACCTCAATGTCTCCGATAACACCAACATCAGTACCAACGCCGACGCCCACCAACAACCAACCCTCTCTGTCGCTCTCGAAGATGCTCAGTCTAAGGACCTTCTGTCCAGACAATCAAAGAGCGCAACATCCACCCGCCGGATTCCATTCAGACTGGGGACTGCCTAGGTACCCAGGTATACAGAGGAGGACAGGACAGGAGGAGATAAGTGAGCGAGCGAGTTGTTTTTATCAAATTCCTTGCCAGGGTGTTTCGAGGACCCTTGTTTAGCGATATGGCGATATGACAATACGGCGATGCAGCGATATGTTTCTGTGGGACTGATTATGGTTGCTGTTATAGGATTTACAGTACATGCATGCATGCGACAAGCAGTGTGCCCAAGCAGTGTAGCGAAACAGCGGGTTCCTTTGTCCCCCTTTTCTCTCCCTCTATGTCTCTCTTTCTCTTTTCCCTCATCTTTCTTGCCTTCTTGTCTCCTTTTCATGATATGGTTGAGAATCCAGTCGCTGAAAACAAAAGCATCAATCGCTCATCAATCGGCTCACGCGTCAAACGCGGCAGTCTGCGGACGACAAGGACAAGGCTAAGGACAAGGGAGGTAACGATCTATATACCTTCCTCGATAGCTAGCTAGCTAAAACTCCCTTGCTTTTGTCCCTTTCGGCTCGAACCACTCCTTCTCCTTCATCTCTATCTGCCTTATCCACTGTGCTCTGCTGCACTTGGCTGTGCGCTGACCCTTGTTCTCACAATCACCTCACGCAGCCTTGGTCGAGATGGTGGATGAAACTCCAGGAGAGATATACACATGCATATTTATGTCCCATATCCGCGCTTCGCAACGGCGAACCCGTCACGTCACGTCACAGCACAGCCCTCTTCTTGTTCCTCTCTCCCTGACTCTGTCGTCCCTGCTGAGCACGGCGTTTCAACTCTCTGACCATGCTCAACGCGGCGCGCGAGTAGGGGAATCTCTCGAGGGCGAGCTCGGCGGACGACGACCCCTCGCCGCTCGACTGCCTGACGGCCCACCGCGCGGCGATGCCCTGGATCATGACGCCCGTGCGGAACACGGCAAAGGCGTCGGACCACGCCATGTCGCCGCGGGGGTCCCACCCGGCCACCTCGCGGTACCAGTCCAGACACTGTTGCTTGGTGGGCAGGCCGGGCGGGCTGGTGGCGGCGTCGGCCCCGGCGAACGCTGGGTGCGCGTGTGTCTTGATGTCGGTGAATCCCTGTGTCACCGTCCACGGCATGGTCAGGTTGCTTAGGTCCGAGAGCGGGTGGCCGACTGTGGCGATTTCCCAGCTGTATGAGACGCATGGCCGCGCGGAAATCTGGTTAGCCTTGTCTAGGTCTTTGCTTTCTTGGTATGAATATCACATAGTTTCTTCTCTTTTGTGGGGGGCGTGGATAGGAAGTGCCACAAAGCTATAACTCAAAGGAGGAAAAGGATACAGTTCTACAGCCAACAACCGGAAGGGTTTTCATGCCGCGCATAAAAATACGAAAAGAAAACTCACTCGAGAATACCAATAATGACGGGCTTCGTCTTGTGAAACACCAAGTTATCGATCTTGTAGTCGCCGTGGGTGATGGCGCCGCGGTCCTGGGGAGCACTGCCTTGGTCCTCGAAAAACGCCACCATCTCGTCCATGCCCGGAATCCGGCCCACGGCCTCGCCCGTCTCGACGTCCCGGACCTGCGAGTACGACGCGTCGAGCCGCTTGAGCGTGCGGATCTGGCGCGCGTAGAAACCGCGCGGTTGGCCAAAGTTGGCGGCGCCGGTGGTGGTGGTGTTGGTGAGGCCGACGGCGGCGGGGTCGACGCCGTGCAGGCGCGCGAGGGTCTGTACGGCCTCTTTCCACCTTTTGCCCCGTGGGTATTAGTATCAGTAACGGTATCGGTGTCAGGGACAGAGTGGTGGTGATATAGGGTTCATAGGTAGGATAGAAAGAAGGCCATGTGCTCCCTGACCACTCCCTCTAGGAAATAAGTGAAAACGGTACGGCAACGTACATAAGACTCCTCTCCTCGGCCGACACCCCGGGGATATACGCCTCCTTGAAGATCCTCCCGTCCAGGAACTCCATGATGTAAAAGGGCGTGCCGACGACGCCGACGTCCTCGCACAGGCAGTACGCCCTGGGCACGGGGATCCCTGGGGAGTGGTTGAGCGCCGAGATGACGCGGAACTCGCGCTCGACCTGGTGCGCGGCCGTCGTGAGCAGTTTTCCCGGTGGTTTCTTGCGCAGCACAAAGTCGCGGCCGTGCCGGTCCGTCAGGCGGTACGTCGGGTTCGACTGGCCGTATTCGAACTGTTTTCGCTGTCAGCGTCGTTTCTGGGTGTGGAAGAGAGAAGCGAGGCGATTGGGGAAGGAAGTGTGAGCAGAAGAGAGACGAGGAAGGGAGAGGAGAAAACGGAAGGGAAGGGAGTCCATGAAATGTATCGTGTCCTTCCTCCCCGTCTCTCCTCTGCGTACGCGGTACACACAGTACACACAGTACATACATACCTGTCGGATTGTGATCGGGACTTTTATCTCAGGGACATGTTGTTCGAGATAGCGTTCCAACGACGCCTTGTCGATCGGCTGCCTCATCCCGTGCGAGGATTTTGTGGGCAGTCCCAATAGACGATGTAAGAAATAATGAAGGGTTTGAGGGATCGAGCTCAAAAAGACCTTATACTTATATTCCTCCTCCTTGGGCTCACTGCACAAGATGGAAATATCCAGGATCCTTGGCTAAAATGCCTCGGATCTTTCAGTCGAGCAAAAATCCCAGTGGCCCCTCTTTGACCAGAATACGCTAGATATTGGGCTGGACGTCTGGTTACGGTGGCTGAGTGGGCGTATGTAAGTAAGAGACTCTCACTGTTAAGCGTGCTATTATGGGGATATGGCTACAGGAAGAAACTGGACGCACCCCCAGGACGAGGTCCTCAATCACACAACTATATTATCGGCGCCAAATCAAGAACTACATGGGTATTCCAGTACAACGTCCAACCAAGTATGCTGCAGCTTCCATCCATCATCTTTGTGTATCTACCAACTCGAAATCCATCATTCGAGTTCTGTGAGTACCTGATGCACAGCAAAAGTCGGTCTGTCGATTAAAAGTCGTCGTCGTTAGCCAACACCGATCAAGTAAATCACATCCTCGCTCATTCGTTCAAACAGTGTCGTCGGCCGTCTTGAGATTCTCCGTGACAACAGGTGCCGTGGTCTTCTCGCCACCATGTTCGTGGGTGACGACAGTGTGGGTGACGTGGTCGATCTCAATCTCGCGTTGATAGATGGCCACCTCATCGGCGTCTCCAAAAATGGCGGCAATTTCTTCCAGGGGCATACCCTTGGTATCCGGGAAGAAGAAGAGCATGATGACTCCACCAATCGTGCCGGGAATGATGAATGCGAGGTAGAACTTCCACCCAACGGTCCTGTCCTTTTGGTGAGTAAAACGGTCACTTAAGGGGCTAGGGACAGGCTTACTTGAAAGCAGTTGGGGCAGCTTGGAGCCAGATGATGTTCATGAGCGAGATCATCGAGACTCCCAAACAGACACCCTTGGCTCGGATGTGGCTAGGGAACAGCTCATTGAGGTAGCTGAACTGAGTGCCTAAATCACAGAAGGTCGTTTAGTGCAAGTCTTCTTAATACGCAGAGATAGGACAGGCATACCATCGAGGCAGAATCCGTAAAAGATCTGGAAGATGTAAAACATGGCCACAGCCGCGAGAAGGGCTGATTGATTGTCGGATGGCACGAACTCTGCCACCAGAGCGGCCTCGATGATAAGCGTGACCATGCATCCCAACACTCCGAAACCCATGTAGAGATTCCGAGGGAACCGGTCTACCAGGGCCATCGCCATGATGTTGATACCGAGGGTGAGGGTGAGCCATCCGGCAGGATAGAGCAATTGTTTGACAGGACTGAATCCGAGGTTGGCATACAATGTCGGACCGTAGTCTTACACAAAAAGTCAGTTCGGATCGACCCAGAAGAATCCTCAAAAGACAGCTTACTGTTGATGACCAGCACGCCAGAGCACTGAATGATGCTGGTAGTCCCGATGGCGAGCAGGCATCGTTTTCGGTACGATGGCTTTTTCAGCATGTGCATCCACGAGTTGCCCAGGGTCTTGTCGATGGCGATCTGCTTCTGGATCTGGTAATACTCGGCATTCGCGAACTCGTTGTCCGGGTCGTTGGGATCAGAATGCAGTTTGAAGAGGATCTCCTTGGCTTCATCGATGCGGCCTTGCATGACCAGCCACCGGGGCTAGAGATTCCCATCTGGTCAGTTCTCGATTCATCCGCACGTTGGATGATAACATACCGACTCGGGCACCCAGTAAATGCCACAAAGTAGGAACAGAGGCCAGGCACATTGAAGAGCCAGAGGAGGTCTCCACGTATCCTCGCCTCCATCCCAGAAGTAGAAGCCAAAGCCAACCCACCCCTGGATGGTATAGCCGAGAATGAGAAAGACGGCATGGACGTCAACCAGAGCACCTCTCAGATCGACTGGCACGACTTCCGACATCCAAATCTAAGTAAAATCATGAGTCCAGGACATGTAACAGAGAGAGCGGGAGAATGGACAGACCGGTACGGCGGCGAGGATCATAAACGCCCCGGCGCCTGCAAAAAATCGAAAGAGCAAGAACTCGCCAATATTGGTGCTGCCGGCTAAGAAGGCCCCCGAGATGAGTGCAATAACTGCTGGCTGTACCAGATGGTCAGCTTTGCACAAACACCATGAATGACCAACAACTCAGCCTTACCAAGACAATAGCCCATTTACGGCCCCATCGATCAGCAACGTAGGGGAGCAACCACGTCCCAATAGTACCGCCGGTCTGGAACAGACCGTTCATAGTACTGATCAGGTCTGTTCCATTGCTTCGGGTGGCGAGATCGAAATACGCGATGAAAGATGGCTGACCTGGTGAGTAGAGAGTGTCAGTTTCAGCATCAGAGCTCAGGCTGAGCAGGATGATACGAACCCAGGGTTGTCCCAATGATCGAGGCTGTGTAACCATAGGTCAATGACCCAAGGCCAATGAAGCACAGCAACAACACATTGTACGCGTTGATCTTTTGCTTCTTGACGCCCGCAATATGTGGCATTTTGGGCAGCTGCTGGCAGTGTACAACTGGGTGCTGCAGTATTCCCTTGATCCAGTCAAGTCGCGCTCGAGATTGATGAGAGACTTTGCCCGAGGTTTAGAGCAGTACTTGTATATGAAGCTGGGGGGGCGGACTTCCCCAGGCGAAGGGCTTCCCGCTCTAGCGGTCCCACTTGGTGTTTGGATGGTGCTTGCATAGCGTGTGCATGGTGTGCCCTTAGATGCATCCGCGGGAGCGGGCACCTGTGGGGAAATAAGTGTCTTACTCTCTGGGTGCGAGTCAGACTGATCCACCCGGTCACGGGTGTCTGTGAGTGCCTATGGGTGCCCATGGGTACCCATGGGGCGGGGCGTCAAAGAATCGAGCGAGTTGCATATTGTTATCAGCGTCAGGGCTTCCTGACATCCCTGCTCGTGGACATCGCCAACGCGCGACTCGCCGCCCAGGAATTGGTCGCCATGCAGGAATTCATAAGCGGAACAGTAGAAGGCCGGGAGGATTGGGAGTCTGTGAACTTGTGAAGACTTCGGTTGCCGCCCATCTCGCGCTCTTGCCGGCTCGCCATGTCTGAGGTCAAGCTGCCGTCGTGGAAAGATCTGCCAGCCGTAGAGGGCATGCCACATGGCTGCGCTTGGGGCCTGTTCGACAAGGATGGCGTTCGAGACGAGATAGGTACATTGAATCTCCTTACACCCGAAGCGGTGATCAAAGCCCGAGAAGAGATCCAAACCGGCAAGAGTGTCGTTCTCAAGTACGTCGAGGTACCTCTGATGTGGTAGGGCTGAAGCCTGATGACCGCCCTCTGTTGACTCGCATAGTTGGCCAATTGACCACGTTCATGAGCCGGGATTCGACCGCATCAAGCCGACCATTAACATCACCGACTGGCGGGCCAAAGGGTCTCCCTGGTATTCATACGACGATGAGATTAGCATTAACACTCAGTCGGGGAGTCAATGGGATGGTCTAAGTATTCCACCCACGGAATCACCACCCTTGTCAATGCAGTGAAGCTCACACATGCCCTTGCCAGGACACTGGGGCCATAGCGGGACGGGATTGTACTATAATCGCATACACCATGACGAGCTCTTGAACACAAACCGTATTGGGATTGACCGTAAGTGACACCTGGGACCTGTTTTGACTTTTATCCAGCCTTGTATTTTGACCTCGTCCTCGCAAGACTGGAGCAAGCGCGGAGGCATTGTCGGTAGAGGCGTGCTCCTCGACTATGTTGCCTATGCGGCTCGCCACAACATTACGTATGATGCCATGACCCGGCACCGTATTACCCTGGACGTTTTGAAGGACATCGCCAAAGAAGAAAACGTGGTCTTGCGCCCCGGGGATATCTTGCTTGTCAGGTCGGGCTGGATCAAATGGTACAACGAACACTCCCCGGAAGAGCGGATCGCCAAGGTCAAGAACGGCTCCGAGTACGTGGGAGTCGATGGTTCAGAGGAGGTCGTCGAGTGGATTTGGAACTCTCATTTTGCAGCTGTTGGTGGTGATGCCATTGGCTTTGAAGCGTGGCCACCACAGCTACCATGGTGTAAGTCCAACTCGGCGACTCCTCACTCTTTCCCGCGCTGACTCTCTTGTATCAGGTCTTCACGACTTCATTCTTGCACTCTGGGGTATGCCACTGGGGGAGTTGTGGGATTTGGAGGCGTTGGCGGCCGAGTGTGAGAGGCAGCAAAGATGGAGTTTCTTCATCACCAGCTCTCCACTGAACACACCAGGAGGGATTGCGAGCCCTCCGAATGCGATAGCCGTGTTCTAGGAGGATGGATGGAGGAGGTCTATAGGCTGAACCTAGGCCGTAGCTAAAGCAAGAAAGTAATTTCTCTTCAACCAGTATTGTTTGAGAACCCTTGTTTGGTGCCTTATTGTGGGACGTTCCTTTTAGGGGCCAAGGAGGGGCAGGAAAGTTTGACAGTGACAGCCTCGTGACCCCCATCTGGGGTACCTTCAAGTACCTCCGAGCAATTAATAACTAACTCCAGGCCATCCCTGACGCCCTGGGCGCCCCAAGGAACCTGCCGAGTCGCAAGTATCCTCTCGTACCACGGGCCGCACGGGGAAACAAGAAAACCGTCGCTCCAAGAGTGGGTTCGCCTGAAGCTATGGAAACCGAAATCCGTTTCTCTGGGATTCTTGTTTTTTTTCGAAACCCTAAAAAGTCAGCGCGCCACGAGTCAGGCAGTCTATCTCGTTCAGCCTAGGTTCATGAAAGCCCCTCACGGAACGCCACACGAACGATGAAGCACGCAGATACCGAGGAATCTGGTCATCAAAAGGTCACCAGGTCAGGATGAAGAGGTGGAATTTCTAATATCCTCGGACAATTGACAATTATCCTTTCGCCCGGGACAAAGGCGTCAAGTCTTTCGTCGTCCACTAGGTCACCATGTCGACAGTCACAACGCCCAAGAGGCGCCTGGAACAGCTCAGCGGGCAGATTGCGCAACCTCCAATCATCGATGAAGGGACATACAAAGGAATGCCCCGGGTTGCCCGAAGGGCTGGAGATTCAGTAGGACAGTGAGTTCCAGAGGCTGAAACCCCCCCTCCAACCCCCCTGCCGTACCTCGTTACGAGTATTCGTACTCGTACAGCCCCCCTGGTCGAGAGAGATGGGGAACGGGTCTGACGAAAGAGGAATATGCCAGACGCACTCAGGGCAAAGTGGTCATTATCACGGGGTGCAACTCGCCCCTGGGTATGGGCCGAGCAACGGCGCACCAGTTTGCCAGGAATGGTGCCCGGGCAGTCTACATCTGTGACTACATGGACGATTACCTGAACCTGCACGTGGAGGAGATGAATGAACTCTACCCCAAGGTCGCCGTCCATGCGCGAAAGTTTGACGCAGGAGACGAGGCCGGGGTCAAGGCCGTTGTGGCCCACGCTCTCGAGACGTACGGACGACTGGACGTGTTCTTTGCCAACGCCGCAAACTCGGGCACGTGGAAGGAAGTGTGGGACATCGAGGTCGAGGAATTTGAGCGGACAATAAGGACGAACTTGACCAGGTAGGTCTCGCGCCACGTGCTGCTCCCATATCTGATCGCAGACATGAACATGATGGGCCACAGTGTCTTCCTAGCCATCAAACACGCCGGCCCTGCCATGCAGGTGACCAGCAAAGACAAGCCCTACTCGAGTGGTTCGATCATTGCCACCTCTTCAACGGCCGGTCTCCGCTCGAACGGCGGCAGCACAGATTACAGCGCCGCGAAGAGCGCGGTGGTGAATCTCGTGCAGACGGCCTGTTTCCAGTACGCGGGACGCAATATCAGATGCAACGCCATTGCGCCGGGCATGACGCACTCTGGTATGACGGAGCCCGTCTTCTATGGTCCAGCCCGAGAGAGAGGCACGCTTCACAAGGTTGGGCAGCTGTGTCCTCTTCGACGCGGCGCCGTGGCCGACGAGATTGCGAGGGTCGCGCTATTCCTGGGCTCGGATGAAGCCAGCTATGTCAATGGCCAGGTATGGGCCGTGGACGGTGGGTTGAGCTCTGGCCTGCCCTACAAGTTGGGCAGTATGGCATAGCTGATCATTATCACAACGCTATAAACGATGACCAAATACAAGCCAAGTAACCCGTGAAATATATCCTGCTCTGACGAAAACCCATCACATTTTCTGGCGCACTCCTGCCCTAAAGTAGAACCCCCCTTTGGACTCGCGGTTCGTGTTCATCAAAGCTTCGGTCTCGACGTGGACAGCGTCATCGAGTCCCGCTTCGCCCATTCCTTCATGACTTTCCGCTGAATCTTGCCGCTCGGCAGACGAGGGACCTCAGGGATGAACGCCACGCCTCCGACAAGACGCTTGTGCTTCGACACACGGGGGTTCAGCCACTCCTGGACCTCCTTCTCGGTGACTTTCCCGCGAGATTCTTCCTTCAGTGCCACGTAAGCCCGGGGCCATTCGCCGTCGTCAAAGGTGACGCCGACCACACCCGCATCGGCAATGTCGGGATGCTCTATCAAGGCGGCCTCGATTTCTGCCGGCGACACTTGAAGGGCCTGCACCTTGATCAATTCCTGTTCGCGGTCAAGTTAGCTGATGGGTGTGATAAAAGTCGATTATCGTCGTGTATAATACCTTCTTCCGATCCACGATCGACATCCATCCGTCATCGCTCATCACGAGAATATCACCGCTCTTCAACCATCCAGTCACAGGGTCAAAAGTGTCGACCGTCGCCTGTGGGTTTCTCCAGTATCCGAGACAGACCTGTGGGCCCCGAACGTAGAGCTCACCCGCCTCCCCTATATTTGCCTCTCTGCCATCGTCTGTGATGATCTTGACCTCGGTATTGGGCATAACAACTCCCACAGAGCCAGTCCGGTGCTTCTCGTAGTACGGGACGCCAGACACGGCACACGTTGTCTCAGTCATGCCCCATCCCTGCGTGATCCGAACATTGAACTTCTTTGACACATTGGCTTCCAGCTCCCGTGAAACAGGCGCGGCACCGCACAGGATCTCCTTGACACTGCTCAGGTCGTAGTTTGCCGTCTCTGGTCTCTTGTCTAACATGATTAGGATCGGGGGAACGGTCTGGAGGCGGGTGATCTTGTGGTCCTGGATGATGCGAAGGTACTCGACAAACTCGAATTTGCTGATGATGAGCATGGGGATGTGGTTGATTGTCGCCATGAGCATGCCATAACACTGTCCATAGGCGTGGTAGAGAGGTAGGAATCCCGCCCATTTCTCCGAGGGTTCGAAGTCGTAGAGAGAATTGATCTGCTTGACATTGGAGACGACGTTGAAATGAGATACGCAGACGCCCTTGGGCAGGCCGGTGGTGCTGAGAATCTCGTGAGCTTCAATATGCAGACTGGGTCAGGGTCAATTCACATACCCGGACGAGAAGTTGATTGCCGCAGTGGTCTGGACTGCCTCTTCACCCGGGAGTTTCCTCCATTGCCACCGCTCTCCCTGCTCGGGAGTCCCGAGAATGACCCTCCAATCCGGAAGACCATCGATGGTTCCTGTCTCACGGTCCGAGAAGACATACAGTCTCATGCCCGGAACAGCTGCTTTGGCGGCGGCAGCCTTCGCGGTCGATATCAAGGTGGGATGGACAAGCAGAACCTTGGGCTGCAAGACTGTGATTTGATATTCCAGTTCTGACCACGATCCATGAGCTTCATGTTTCATTTGGACAAGCCATAGCTTTTCACAAGCTCTACCCACCTTTGGCAGTGAACGTTGGGTTTGCTCCGGAGAATGCAGCACCAATGCCCACCACTCCGAAATACGATACTGGGACCATGATATGATTGGGCGTGAAGAGCAAGCATCTATCTTCGAACCGAACGCCTAACTGCTCGAGACCATAACCAAACCGCTTGGCCAAAGCCAGGGCACTCTTTGGAGAGTTCCAATGCGATGTGTCCGCAGCATCGATCCAGAGAGGCTTATCCGACACAGGTCGATCGGCGGGGAACAGAAAATCCAAGATGCTGCATTTCTGCAGGGTCAGAGGCGCGATCTTCGAGGCGTGAGGCATCTTTGGCGCAAGCAAGCAACGAGAAAGAAACAAGGATCAACGTCTATCACCCGCTTCAGCACGAACACATTTGGGGGAACGAGCATGAAGGTCTATATCAAGAGGCACATGCCCGGGAGCCCATGTCGACCCGTCTAGCACGCGCTGTTGCCGTCGGGGACGCACCAATAGCCGATGCGACATGGATCGATTGCCAGCAGTAGAGATACAGACTGCGCGTAGTGCCCCGATCAAGCAGCTAGAGGCACAAACACGAACGACGTCGACTGCATCGAGGTCGCGGTCACTCTCCGGAGCCCGGAGCGAGGGCTCCGGATTGGAGACCATCTCCACAACTGAGCAAGTGTAATGGCACAGCTGCTTTACCTCGGCCTTCCATTCTAGGAGACTCGCAGGACTCGTGTCAGGCTATCCGCGGGCTTGCAGCGTTGGTTCAAAACTGCCAACAACAGCCTCATGCTATGTGGATTCTGACTCTCACAACTGTCAAGGAGTCTCGTACAGCAATACGGAATCCCACACCATGGCCACCATCCCAGATCACCCGTCTCTTGCTCGGATCCCGCCAGGATACCGGACAAAGCTGAGCCCCAAAGCAGTCGATATCATTGCCAAAGTATACGATTGGGTTGAAAATGAGTGCATTCCGGCAGACCACATTGTCAAGGCGCAACTGGAGGAGAACCGGTGGGCGATGCCGCCCTACATCAAGGAACTGAGAAAGAAGGCAAAGGCACAAGGCTTGTTCAATCTCTTCCTACCGAACCACTTCAAGGAAAGCCCCGGACTCACGATTCTGGAGTATTCGTGCTGCTGTGAACTTCTTGGCCGAGTTTACTGGGCTCCAATGGTAGGGATCAAGGCGTTCGAGGGATCAGGATGGGTACTGACAGGGTGTCCAGACACTCAACTGCCATGCGCCAGACACCGGCAACATTGAGCTTTTGGCCAAATACTGCACGGAAGAGCAGAAGAAGAAATGGATGCAGCCTCTCTTGGACGGAGAGTGTTTGTCTGCCTATTCGATGACAGAACCTGATGTTGCTGCCTCGGACGCAACGAACATTTCGTGCCGTATTCGACGGGAAGGTAACGAGTACGTGATCAACGGTCGCAAGCTGTATGGGAACTGGATTGGAAATGAGGATGTCAAGTTCTACATCCTAATGGGGTGCTCTGATCCAGACAATCCGGATCCCTGGAAGCGCCACTCGACCGTGATTGTGCCCAGGGACACTCCAGGACTGAAGGCAGTCCGGTACATGACAATCATGGGCTATGACTGCGCCCCAGAGGGGCATGGTGAGTATGTGTATGAGAATGTGAGGATCCCCGCGGAAAATATCATCTTGGGAGAAGGGCGAGCATTCGAAATCGCTCAAGGTCGACTTGGGCCGGGGAGAATACACCATTGGTGAGTTGGCCTCCAAGTGCATGCTGCCTTCAAACTAATGCTATCGAAGCATGCGCCTGCTTGGTCAAGCTGAGCGCGCATATGAACATGCACTCATCAGAGCTACGGATGTAAGAAAGAAGCCCCGGGGTAAATTGATTGGTGAGTTCGACAGCAATATCGAGCGGCTTGCCGACATGCGCATGGAGATCGACGCTCTTCGCCTGGTTGTTCTGAACGCCGCAGAGACCATGGATCTCATGGGCAACGTCGCAGGAAGATACGCCATTGCCCAGGCGAAGATCATGGTGCCTCTAGGCGTGACCAAGATTGTGGATGAGTGCATGCAAATGTTCGCTGGACAAGGACTCACGCAGCACACATTCCTCCCTGAAGCTGTAAGGCCACCCTCCCCTCTCTCTTGTCTAGAATGGGCGATTCGCCCCCTCATACCCTCCAACAACACATGACACACTTGGCGAGGAGCGGTCTCGACTCGAGCTAACCGTTTGGGCAGTGGACGTACGCCAGATTCGCTCGGATTGCAGATGGGCCAGATGCTGCTCACAAGCACCAAGTTGGGCGAGATCAGCTGAAGACTGCGGCTGAAGTCAGGTCGAAACATCTCGGGTACAAGAACAGATACCATGAATTGGCAAAGGAGTGGGGAGTGCCTGCGACAGAACGCTTTGAGTATGTTGCGCGGATCGAGAAGTTGTAACCTAAGTGCCACAGAAGCACCAGCAGCACCAGCCACCCGCCAGCCAGAACGGCTGGGGGCACTACTAGGTAGTCGTGGTGTCATTCATTGTGCCACTCACCCGTCAACGCCTGGACCAGTGAGCAACGTCACGTAGGGTGTCAACTACTGCTAGAGGCAATTGACTACCTACCAATGTACCTACCAAGAGAGAAATCCAGACTGAAAACTGAATGTAAAAGCCCCCAGAAGAAAACCTCCCTGTGAGCGTGGTGCAGCCGTTGACGCCCTCACCAACACCCCTGGAATGGCGCCTATAAGCCTCCCTATAAGGATGCCCACACTCATCACTATCTGGGTCCTTATCACCACCCCCACCTCCACCACAGTGCCCCGAAACGGCCCTCCCAAACGCCTCCTGCAAGGCACCCAATAATTGCCTCGCTGCGTCCCTAGGTAACCGGGATCAACACTGTTCAAATGATCTGTTGTGTCTCGTACAACGGTCCTCCTTCGTAGTCTAATACCATTCTGACTAGTCGCCTCATTCCGAAAGAGTCGAGCCGCAGGTTTCGCCCCGTTGAGAAATTTCGCTTGCTTTCGCAGGGGGGCTTTTGTAACGTCGCTTTGGGTTTAGGTGACACCTGGGCGAGGTGAGGGAGTTTTGATGGGGATCCGTGATGGAGGGTCAAGATGGTCATGATGGCATGTGCCGAGGGTTACGAGCCAAGCCTTGACCGCCCCGCGTCCTTCTTCCGACTTCTCCAGAATTCCCCCCGTGTGCTAAATCCTAGCTTCATCTAGTATCCCATTGTCAGGACGCTCTCACCATTGAGATATCAGAAGAGACAGCATTCTTCTCAATATAGCCTCAGCCAGTGATGGAGACCATGGCCAGCGAGATCCTGCTGCCCATGCAGCTGTCGACGGGTCCGCCGCTATCAGTCCGCAAGCCCAAGCAGATCAGCGACAAACGACGTGACAAGAAACGAGTCGCCGACCGACACTGCCAGCGCCAGGCCCGAGCCCGCACGAAGAACAAAATCGCCGAGTTAGAGTCTCTGGTAGCACATCTGACGAGCCAGTCCGGCAATGAAATCTGCAGAGAGCTGAGGGAGCAGCTTGAGAGCGCGCGCACTGAATGTCGGTCACTCAAACGCAAACTCGCGACGATATATTCCCTGGCTCAGATCAACCTGGAGGAAGAGTCGGATGGGCGTCACGACGTGGAGGGGAAGGGTAGGTTGCAGCCAGCAGCAGCTTTAGGGGATATTGACCAGACAACTAACAAAAAGCTCACCAGAACGCACCGACTCCTCCCCATCTTTTACACTGTTCAACCAGCCTAGATCACCTCCGGTGGCCGTGGACGACCTCCAGGTAGAATCCAGCACCGACGCTGGCCGTCAATCGCGTGGACCTGCGTGCAACGTCCACGGTGAGGCTGAATTCGGCTTTGCCCTCGATGATAGCCTCAATTTAAACTTTCCGGATGCCATGTTCGATGAGCAAACTTTCAATCCGATGGGGTTAGGGCCAACACCACTTGAGATGGATGGAATGTCCGGCCCCCACAGCTGTAACACAATCACTACGACCGCAACCGCCACCACTTCCATGCCTCTTTCGTTCCCCGAAAGTGGGTCCTCGTGCACGTGCTCACACCATATTCATCCACACAAGCAGTCAAACATGTGGGCGTTTGTGAGCGAGACGTTGATGGATTGGAAGACGCACAACTGGCCTAAGCTTCAGAATGACGACACTACCGCCGACGATATCGCCGTGCGCGCTGTTATCGAAGGCTGGACTGAACCTAGCCTGGTCAATTTGACTGCTTCGTGGCGCATTTTACGGGAAGTCGACGAGAAAGTATGGGCCAACTCCCGCGACGTCGATCGCCTGGCCGTCCTCTGCATTATGAATTTACTGCTCCAGGTATGGCTGTCGCCCCACAATGTGGTTACAGGTGTATCTGACTTCAGAATACAGTGCCACCTCAATCCTTCAGAGAAAAATCGGTCCAACCTACCTGCGTGGTATAGGCCAAGGTAACACTCATCCCCGCTTCGACCTCTTTCTACTTGCTGGTAGCGACGACGCTGATCAACAACAGACCGTCGCAAGTGGCTCAGAAACATGCATATGCCATCGACTTCTTCGTATGGTAGGTGAAGACCGAGCCAACCCCTTCAAGTCTTCCTCCCGTACCAGCATGGTCTGATCTCTTGTCTCATAGGCCGGGAATTCGTGAGCGATTTGTCTATCACTACCACAAATACTGTTCGAACAGGTTCTGGGCACTCTTGGCTCAACACTTCCGCTTTGTGTGGCCGTACGATCTCCGCGATTGTTATGTTCACAATCGATCGACGAATAGATATCAGTTGTCAGACTTATTCCGGCGTCATCTGAATGACCTCACATCCTTCACCTTTGACAAAGACATGTTTGGCAACTACCCGGAATTCGACTGCGACATACCAAAGTACATGAAAATTCCGACAAGTCTGACTTTAAAGCAGCTAGGCAACGAACCACATAGGCGGAGGTACAATGAGATACCAGGAAACCAGAAACTGATAGGATTTGCTCCTATGCCTGCCACCATCCCTCCAGGGCAGTGGTTTGTGCCTCCCGACGACATGACGAAAAGTGTTGGCCCCGTACTGTGGGGCCAGCCACTGCAGATGAATCAATTTCTATAGGGCCAGAATGCATAGGGCGTGGGATAGCGAATGTGGTCGTCTGGGGTAAAGCGCGGTATGGGAATTTGACCTCAAGTTGACGCAACTCACGGCGTTTGCCGCGATAACTTGGGCTGATGATAATGTACGGCCCGAAAAGCGCTTCGAGGTAGCTTCGAGAAGCAGCCTTTATTGTATTCAATGCAATCTTCGACCTTTTGATCTACACGAGTGACTGGTGTATTAACCACAGACCTCACGGTATTCGCTACACAGAACGTCCAGGTACTTCGCTAACGTCGAAACAGACTCTGTCCCTACTTTGAAAGCAATCTCTCTCAAACATGTTTGCTGGAGGCCTCTCATACATGAGATATTGGGAGCCGTTCACTTTGTTATGCTCTTGACCTCTTCATACACCCTATGGTTCATTTCTACTTATTTCCTGCCGCACTTCACTTCTCCCCTCGCCAAGGTTCAGTTGAGACCCAACTTGTTTCTCAAGAACACGAGTGGAAGGCTCACATCAATCGTTAACTTCGCTCACATTTCACCTTTCTTTCCTTACACCACCGCGAAATTGGCAGGCATCAGAAAGTGCGAGATTTGTCCTCGAGTCAACAGCCACACGTGTTGATCCGCCTCAAGACTCAGACGAAGAGGTAAGCTAAAATTTCTCTCAGGATGCAGTGCTCGAAAGGTGAGTTGTATTAACGCCATGATCGATCACAGGATCGAGAATTCAAGAGACTGGGAGCAGAGAGGGTGGGACACTGGACGAAGACTTTGAGGTCGATAAGTGAGTCCTTATTCTACTCGCTTTTTGAGGCCGCTAAGTTTTCCAGCATATACACAAGCCCGGTCGTCAAGGTGGTTGTTGGATCGCTAACCCAAGAGTTTTACGTCCACAAGAGGCGCATGGCCGAAGTGAGCCCCTTCTTCAAAGCTTGCCTCTCGGCGGGGATGATGGAACAGCAAAACAACGAGCTCATCCTCCCAGACGATACATGTAGGGCTTTCAGATTCCTGGTCGATTGGATATATAACCGCAGTGTCCCAGCCATCCGCAACGAAAAGGATGCGATGCCAGCCGTTCAGGCATGGACACTTGGTGACAAGTATTACATACTAAAGTTCAGAATGCTCTTTCTGATCAGCTTCAAAGCTTTTGGGCATGGGATCTAGTTTACCCTCGCACCTTGTTATGGCTGGTCGAGAATAGCGCCCATGTGACCGCTCTCCGACAACTTGTTTGCGATTATCTATCCTATGGCCTGGTACATTCGTCCTCGATGTACAGATATGCTTGTGACGAGGACGAAGTGGAGTCTGCGAGTGCCTACAGTTATGCGAGGGCGCTCAAGGACTTGCTAGCCAATCCCGAGATCGGCCTCAAGTTGTTCTGGACTACAAACAATCTGAAAGTAGGAGGAACAGATCCAAAAGACTTTGGTTGGTGCTATTACCACGTTCATGTCGAAGGCCAGACTTGTGTGTAGTAAAGACCAAAGAAAAAGTCAATATGTTGAAAAGAGGTCGGATTATGAACCAGCTTCGTAACCAGGACCGTGCGCAAGCTTCGAAGTCCGCTGAAGTGAGAAGAAGCTGAATAGCATGGACCTGGGACCTAGGGACTCAAATAATCCGGTTGAATATGGCTAAAACGAGTACTGATGTTTACGGAAGGGGCTCGGTGACATGTCAGGGAGCGAACCCAATGACATGCATCACATATCGGACTATGACGGACAAGAACACCACGGCAACTGTGCTTGTCTACTCGTTGATAGCTGGATTTCCTCTCTAGAAAGCGGGATGTCATTCCCCCATTCATTCCACTGTGACAGACTCCCAATTCCCAGACAGACCTCCCGTAGGCACCACCACACAATGCACGATGGAGTATATTGCAGACTAGTCTTGTTTAGGACTAGCTCACCACCCCCCTTGTCTATTGTGTTTGGTTAAAGTCCTTGCACTTCAACATTTCCTTTCTTTGAAGTGTTGAAAGTATCGAGTACCGAGTTCACAAGAGAGAGGGAGGAAGGGAAAGAGAGAGAATACATATATATACACCATATGTACATGCAGCACTTGCAATATAGCTGAATCCTCTCCGCAGGTCACTCCCTTGCTCGCTGCCAATCTGTTTTACAAACGATGTGAGTGGGTTGAGGGTGGTTGAATTGGGATGAGCTGCGACGATTGATGAGGCAGTGAATGTTGAATCGACAGTGAATACATTGAGTGAAGCGCGCGGTGAAGAATGCCGCTCTTGACTATTTTACGAGGTACCTGGGTCGTGGCTTCCTCAAGTTTTCCACCTCCTTGAGTACTAGATTCATATCATCCTCCTCCTCCTCCTCCTTCTTCTTTCTTCTTCTTCTTATCCCACTCTCAACCCAGTTTCGCCTACAATATTCCAGTCTTGGCTGTGCCGCTGTCATGGATATGGACGACACAGACTCTCCCTCTATTCAGGGCCAGGCTTCCTCTTCCGCCATCATGGAGACACACGACTCAGACGCACTCTCTACTCAAGGCCAGGCTTCCTCGACAGTGACTTTGGGCGGAGGTGAAATACAAAAGTCAGTTGCAGCTCGCAAATCCTTTTTGACAGTCCTAACTCAAGCACAGCTTTACCACCTCCCCTATCATCACGATATCAGTCGGCAAGGAGAAGACAACGTTCAGAATCCACAAGGACAGATTGACTGCAGACTCCGTGTTCTTCAACAAAATGTTGGCTTCTGGTATGTCCGAGTCGCAGACAAACGAAATTTCCTTGCCAGAAGATAGCCCCAAAATCTTCGGTGAATTTGCGGTCTGGATTTATCAACGCGCAGTCAAGCATCACTCGCATGACAACCATCTCATGATCATGAAATGCTGGATACTGGGAGACAAATACGGCGTTCCCCAGTGGCAGGATCAGCTCATCGAAGATCTCGCAGGGCTCTGGCGTGAGCCATTTCGTTTCCGCTTCGACGATCTTTCTTGGGTGTTGGAGAGTGTGCGCCATGGAAGTGCGCTTTTCAGATTCGTCATGGACTCCTTTGTGTGGGAGTTGAGAGATTTTGCGGATGAGTACTTTGCGAACGGGAATGTGGCAGAAGAAGTCAGTCAGGTGTTCTCGAGGCACGACTTTCCCCTGTCAGCTTTCCTCGTCTCTATATTCCCGCTCAACGGACACTTCAACCGACCTTCCAATCGGATCGACCCTTACTTTGTCCGCAATGAAGGAAAATTTGTCCCGTTACATCCTCAGAAATTCCGTGAGAAAGTGGCCAAGTCTCCGTGGACTGTAACAGCAAACTTTCCGAAAAGTTTCTCGACCATGAGGATGCTTGGTGAGACTGAGGAGAATGTATATGAATGATCGGGCCAGATATATCCAACGAGGAAGATGAAATACAAACCCAAAGGTACGGATTGACAAGGTGGAGCTCTAGCAATCAAATGCACAAGCAGGATTCATATTCATAGACCGTGGATGCAGAGGATAGCACAGGTTGAGCGGGAAGGTCCTACCACGGAATGCAAGCCCAGGCTTGGGACAATGGTTGATGATATGTTTTGCCGTGGTATTAAAAGGCGCCTGACTGTGATGGACAAGTGAATTTGAACCTCAACACACCTGATACAGCACAAAGTATGCCTCCTCCACGTCTCTAACCGCAACAGCAAGTGTTGCTTCTGCTCTTGGTGTGAAGTGAACGACGAGTAACCAACAATAACACGGATTCACCATGGATGTCTAGGGTTTATGAGGACAACAAGACAATGCAGCATCGCAGTTTCGCATGAACCACGGCAGTAACATAACCAGAACCCATACCACTGTCTCTGCCGGGTATGTGCAGTGCAGTAATGAAGTTAGACGGACTTGTTTGCGACAGATATACACCGTGAAAAGAGGCGCAGGCAATGACCCGATCTCTCTTCCGTCACAATTTCATTCCCAAACAAGAATTACACCTTTTGGTGATATACTGACCCTGGTATCTTCCAAGCCTTCCCTGATCTTCACTTGTTTCCATCTCTCTCATCCTTCCAAGCTCTTGAAGCGGTGCCCATTCCTAACAAGGGGAAATTTTGCTGCAACTGAGATTAGACCGGACTCCCTCGCCTCGCCTCACTTCTCCTCCCACGTACCCTCCCTCTTGTTGTCTCTCCATCGGTCCTCATGTCACGCACGAATGAATCTCACGAGCAGAGTCCAGAGCCCAATAGCACTATTCTTGGGAGAGGGTTAGTTATGGTCCGACCCGATTCCCTCTACCTGGCCGATCAGGGAAACCCAAATGACTGACCGACCGGGCGCGGTGCTGACCGACTGAGTTTACAGGTTCATCGACTCCCCGCTGGTGACACTCATGGCGGGCGAGGAGAAGTTTTTCGTCCACAGACACATCCTCGTGGCCAAATGCCCCTTCTTCGCCAGACAGCTCGAGTCCGGACCGCCGCGGCCGCCTCTGCAGAAGGAGGAGGAGGGGGAGAACAAGCCAGGAACTGAGGAGCTGGAGTTTCCACACGACAGCAGGGACATGATCGGCCACTTCCTGGCCTACATCTACACCGGCCGGGTGGACTTTTCGCAGTCCGACGACGCAGTCCTCGCCATCTTGAAGTCGTGGGTCCTCGCGGGGGAGCTGTCCATGCCGGACTGGAAGAGCCAGCTCGTCGATCATGTCATTGCGCATTGGGCGGATTAGTAGCTGTTGGCGGGCAGCGGTGCGAGGCTTGCCTGGGAGGGAAGCCCTGGACAGTCTGCCGACCAGTGGTTGATTAGTTCAACTGTGTTGTTCCCAACACGTTTTGTGCAAGACGGGTGAAACAAATGGCAGTGAAGTGATGCTGCAGAGATATTCGGTGCTTGGTGCTCGGTGTTATGACAAGTGGGAAACTCGAAAATGTGACAGTATGACAATGGGGGTTGGACTCGTCGTCCCAACCCGTTAGGAGTGCTGAGATTACGTGCATGGGTTGAGAACCAATACCCTGGGCCAGACGAGGTATGGGGAAGATGGATCATGGGAGAGGAAACGAATGAGCTTCAGTCGTTGGCGAGCATGAAGAAGATAAGGGCCTGCAGGGCATCCAACACCACCATCACTTTGACATCTTTCTCTTTCTTTGCTGAGGCATGCATGCATATCATGACCCGTGAGAATGCAGCTGAGCGTCATTTTCACTTCTCGACAACACAATGAAGGCTTCTGGAGGGGTATTCTGGACACTGAACACTGAACACGGAAAACGAGGGAGATCATCGTAGCATATCAAACGTCAAATTGAACGAGGCAACCTCACTCACTACCTTTTGATAAAATCGCAAGAACTAATCGATACCAGATCTGAGGATAGGCAAGGAAAGAACAGGAGACGAGAGGATGGGGTACCCAGGTAGGACAGCCTTAGGTTGGATATCAGATTCCACAGCTTCCGTCCCTTGTGTCTTGTGCCTTGTCCCTCTGGATTGTCGTCGGACAGACTCGATAGAATATACATCCACACGAACCAGGTATGATCGGCTGACCAGCTGATCGCCAGTGCTGGACAGCTTTGGTGCTTCGTTGAATTTGAATCGTGGAGGTTCGTTCATGTCCAGATAGATGGTTCGAGGCCTCCAGAACAGACGGGGTCGGAAATATTCTCATGGGCATCTGGGCTGGAGATTCACCAAAGGGCAAGGATTTCAGATTGTTCGAAACATAGATCCCCAAGAGTCTCTGGATACGGTATTCGAAGGACCACTAGAAGGGGTATTGAGCACACAAGGAAGAGCCTCAGGATTGGTATCATGGGATGGTATTATACATGGTGTCCTCGACAGACTTTGTTCCGCTCTATGGCTGTTTCTCATCGGATTTCTGAGCGCTACCAAAAGTAACCTTGCCATCGTGGCCGACACTCGCCACTGATAGTCTCGGCGACGATGGCGCTGGGAACACAGGCACAGCAGAACCTGACTTGGACAGTTCGGGGTCTGTTGAGTGGACATTGGAGATAGCCTCCTCAACAGCGCCTGCAGGGGTGTCCGCAATCTCGTTCACTTCCTGTGTCGTGAGGACATCATTGACCCTCGCAGCTCGGCTTTGGATCAGAATAGTTGTTGGGCCACTAAACTGTAGAAACAGGCGGTCTCCCCAAAGGGTTCTTCGGCTCCATGTTCGAACTCGGTAAAGCAAATTCGCAAAGAATTTGTACGTGCTGCTGGTTTTCAGAGTGGCGACAAATTTCGAGGAGGGAAAGAAATTCCCGAGCTGGAGAGGGATTTGGAACCGAGCACTTGATGACTTGAATCGGAAGGGTAGAGGTGCCGGAGATGGTGATGATGAGCTGTAAGCGAGTATGTTCGAGGGATGAACAATGTATGTCTCTCCTTCTGCAAGTTCAACCGAATAAACTTGGCCCTGTCCTGCAAGCGCTAGCAGTCCCCTCCCAGTGACGTTGGAGCTTCCCCAGTATGCGAGAGAAAACCTCGTGTTTATACTCGGCTTGACGGAGAGCGTGCTGCCAGTCCACGCCAGCAGCGCTTTTCTCTGCGCCAGCTTCCAATCCATCGTACCATCCAGCTGCAGAATGGCGAAGGTGGTCATTGGCGACCTCGTTGCAATCAGAGCATTGGCGGGGGATGTCGAGGTGATCTTTTGATACAAGAAAGGTATCCCGACCAGGGCACGGCGGACGGGATTGAGGATTCGCAAGGTCGAGATTGTTCCATTAGGATCTCCGGCAAAAGCCACTAGTGTTCCCCGACGAGTATACAACTCTTGAGAGGGGGAGAGGGTAACGGAAAGGAGCGAGTACGGACTTCCAACGACTTCGAATGAGGCGTCTAATAATATGTTAGTGGATGTTTTCTTCGGACAAGGTGTTTCTCTGACCCGGTGTCGCAGCGGACAACGACCTGCTCGCCACATTGATTCTGCTAGTGTCTGTTGCAGGCGTTGCTTGCAGCGAAATGTACTTGTATCCGCCAACTCTCCGTCCAGCGACCAAATGCGCCGGATACGCCCATTTCCGGGGAAACTTGCTCAGGGCACGTAGGCTCTGAGCCGCAATTTGGGGCATCCTGGCGCCAGGTACGTTGGAGATTGTTGGATTCCAACAACAGGGCCTCGGGGACCGCCTTATTGGACTGTAGTGGCTTTCGAAGGTGCGCTTTCAAGTTTTCAAGATGCCCGTAGAAGCTGGTCATGACAAGCTCGGTGACAATTAGACCAAATATGCCAAGCCCACGCTAGGGAAGAAACGAGGCTGACTGTCTTGGCAGAGTTCTTTGCTTACTACTGCCTCCAATGCTTCCTTTGACCTTCCCACACTCCTTACCAGGTATCTTACTGATTTGGGCAAAATGCATTCGAATCTTGTTCGATCGGCCAAAGTCCTTACTTCCGCACTTCCGGGCCTTCGTGGCTGTGCTTTCTAGTGGCTTCCTCTAGATGTGATTACGCCATATGTGACTTAGCGACCCCGAACTTTGGTAAGGATTGGAAACCTTGGATCGGGATCACCATACCCCAGAAAATGACTATTTGGGAATTATGATATGGCGTTCCAAAGCAGGTGACCCTTGCAGCATATTGCGGCTCTGTGGTCGTGAGTGCTCCCTGACACGATGTCCCGGGATGCTATTCTCAGCAATGCAACTTGACCCTCTGAATTGCAGATTTGGTTGGTCTACTCGCAGGTGCAACTACTCTATGCCATTGATGTCCCAGACACATGGGAACCTACACCTGGCTGGTTGATCCATATCGCCGGAACAACGCCGTTGTCTTCCGTGGGTCAGGAATAGTCGACGACGCAACGAGAGCGGCGTTCGTGACGGGACATCCCGAGAGAAAACATGCTCATCTTTGTTCTTGCTATATGCTTCGCCACTTAGCCACATGTAGGTCAAAGGCTCGAACCTGTGATTCCAGCAATCATGAGCGAAGTTAGAGTTCTGAGCGCCTACTCTCCGAGACAAGCCCATCGTCCTGGTGTTCAATCTTCGGGCGTTATGCACCACCGACTCAGAACCTAAGACAGCTTCCTGTGATCTATTCTTGCACGAACTGTTCTGTGTACCAATACGGCACTGGAGCTCCTCACACAGGGTAATTATGCTTTAAAAGGCTCGCCTGGCACAACACGCATCTTTCTTTTGGTAGCATCTCCAGACCTTCTGCTCTACTATCACAAAGCACCTGAATAACGACCAACGACCAACATGCGTTGCATTCGACAAATCCTTGGTTCAGCCTTGGGGTATATGGCTTTCGTCTTGCCCACCCAAGCTGCTCCTCTCGATACTTCTGCTTCAGCACCACAGTCTTCCGGTAGCATTCAGTTCCCAGTCGGAGCAAATGGACCAAACGCCCCGGTCGTGTTTCCTCTCTCGAATGGATTCCCGAACATAGGAAAGGGCACCCCAGCTTTTCAACAGCTAACGGACCAAGCTCATGGTTCTATATCGAACGCACCACCACCACCATCTTTGGCTCCAGACGATCTAAGAAGTTTCAAGGTCATCCAGATCCAGGAGACTTTTGAAGTCTATTACTTCACCCAACTGCTGCTCAACATTACCAACAACGTCCCCGGCTTTGAGATCCACGATTCATCATTGAAGCAAGATCTTATTGACAAGCTGACAATCATCCAAGGCCAGGAGCAGTGGCATGCCATCAATGCCGGCAACGTTCTACAACACTTTAACGTCTCCCAGATTCAGCCGTGTGTCTTCAAATCTCCTGCGACTGACCTCACAAGCGCCATCCAAATTGCCGCAAACTTCACTGCCGTGGTGATTAGCACTCTTCAAGATGTTGCAGTCCGCCTTGGGCAAAATGGAGACTCGGGTGTGATTAGGGGCGTCGTTTCTGTGGTTGGCCAAGAAGGAGCACAGCAAGGCATCTACCGCACACTGTTCAATGATCTGGTCCCTTCAGAACTCCCGTTCCTGACTCAGTCAACCCGTGAGTTTGCGTACTCGTCGCTTCAGCAGAACTTCATTGTGCCTGGCACCTGTCCCAACGACAACACCATTGACGTGCCGATTTTCGGGACATTGAACCTCTTGACCAAGGACATCCAAGCTGTCGACCAGGAACTCACCTTCAGCATCTCGAGAGATTCGGTTCAAGGTCTCAGCCTGGTGTACATCAACCAACAGAACCTGCCAATCGTTGAAACGATCACCAACCCGTCTACGAGCAACGGGGTTACCACCTTCTCAGCCAATTTCCCTTTCAGCCAGAACTCATTGAACGGCCTTACAATTGCGGCGGTAGTCAACTCGACCGGGCCCTTTGCAAATGCAAACGAAGTCGCAAACAAGACCCTCTTTGGTCCTGGCCTGATTTACCCTAATTAGTCTTGTACCGGGCAACCAAGTGAACCTGTCCATGTTCCTCGTTCAATCTACGCCAATTTGGCACATTCGATGGCTGTCAACGCTTCAGCTTGTACATAGAGAACACTAATTCTCCTCCTGTCGGTCTCAAAATGATCCCGCAAACCTTTCCTATACTGAACATCCTTTCTCGTGAACTCTTCCCTTCAGATGGGAGGTCATCTTAGTGTGCAAATTCCCTGGACACTGAGAGACTTTTTGTCGCATTGTTCAGTATCAAGCTCTTTACCACGTTTTAGTTCTCCTCACAACTTTCCCCCAAACTTTTCCCAAACCCATCAAAATCACCATATCGAGATTGATCAGCGGTGAGCAATCCGACTGGTCAGAGCCATGACAGTCTTGGTCGCAGTCATTGTATTCATCGCAGCTCCACTATATCTTACATTTTGGCGGTGAGGCATACCGAAGCTGACTGGCGCGAACAGACAATCTATCTACCTACTCGAAAGCATTTCGACGCCTGTTGTTTGCTTCTCTCAGACCAAGAGTACGGGGTAAGTTGCCCATTTGGAGCCTCGTCCCGGCTTCCTCCTTTGGCATCCCGCGCCTCAACGCCGACTTCACAGTATTCCCCGTTCCTCCTGGTTTCCTACTGGTGCCCTCGCTGTGGTTGGACAAGTAAAGTGCGGTTCCGACACTCCGCAGAGCAGCCGATCCACACTCTGGACTTAGTCTGCTGCTTCGTGTACGTATTCAACCGAAGATCAGCCTAAAAAGGACTCTGGGGGCACAACCACTGGCTCAGTGGACAGAGCGGCGCGGCAGCTTCGCCTTTGACTCTCATACTGGAGGTGAAGTAGCCCAAAGATCTGCTGGACCGGCGTCGATCCTGTGGTACTTATTAGGGATCTCCCCTGCCTAGCAGGGCTGCCCGGGTACCTAGTCTGGCTGGGCTAGTAGCTGGGATGTGCCTCCAGGGATCGTTCCCCTCCCCTCGCCTTTTCAACTCATGCATTCAACGGTCGAGGGTTCTTTACCGTTGATATTAGAATGGAGGGTCGCCGATCACTGCCACCTGATGCCCGCTCACACGCGAGAGGGTTGCATGCCCGAAAGTTAAGGGACACTTTTTCTTTCCGCTAGAGGTTTGTTTTCTTTCTTAATCCTGAAACTCCGGCTCTTGCCCTTCTCTCCTTGCTGCAGGTTTTTGATTTTTCTTTGACTGTCGTCGACCGTCGACATTGTCATTGGGAAAACATTTTATTTGGTCTTCCCGGAGCGGCTGAGCGAGGGAGAGAAGGAGAGAAGGAAATGCCGGATCAGCGACAGCAGACTAATAGTTCTGTGCGAGACGACGATGCATATCCATACCAGCAGCTTACGGTCCTTGGTGCGCATATGTCCTCGTCTCCCTCCAAGTCATCCTCAGAATCACCGTTAACAGCGTAAAACAGCACTATGTCGTCTCGCCGAACCCATCGCATTCTGCTCCATCACAGCCTACACCTTTGTGATGGTTGTCGACATTAAGGGCGAAGAGAATGCCTCGTTTTACGCCGGCCTTTTAATCTCGGCCTTTGCTTTGGCCGAAGCCTCGACGGCTATGATCTGGGGACATATCTCTGATCGCTATGGGAGAAAGCCGATTGTTCTCCTGGGACTTGCGGGAGTGGCGTTGTCCAGTCTGCTATTTGGGTTTGCAAAGAACTACTGGGTAGCTCTCCTGGCGAGAGTAGTCGGCGGGCTCTTGAACGGAAACGTGGCCGTGATGCAGACCATGGTGGCGGAGATGGTCAAGAGACCAGAGCACGAGCGTGGGTCTGAATGAACGTGCATTCCTTCGAAGCTGACTTTTGACTTCAGCAACCGCCTACGCCGTTCAACCTTTTGTGTGGAGTTTAGGATCGATCGCTGGGTCCGCTCTGGGAGGATTTACAGCGCAACCTGCCCGATTCTATCCTCAACTCTTCTCTCCCGACGGGGTTTTTGGCGAGTATCCTTATCTCTTACCGAACCTGGTTTCTGTGGCTATCATTGTCATCGCCATCATTCAGGGATGGATCTTCCTCAAGGAGACGAACCCAGTGTCGCGAGCACCAGGCACACTCGTTACGGTCCACAATGCCGATTCGGTGGATGAGACGACGCCCTTGTGGCCGAGGCAGAGAAGGCAATCGGCGCTCAGTGCAATTTCAACAGGGACTGGTGGGCTCGGTTACGTGGCGGAATCCATGCCCGTCGCCATCGATCCGGCCTTCGACCTTCGACGGCCATCTGTGGCCTCCATCGCCTCATTCACGTCACTGGTAAAAATCCCACCACAAGTCGAGGCTGCCATCGAAGATGGGGATGACGAACAAACTGTCCGGCCGGAGAAAATCAGGGCTTTTACTAAACCCGTCGTCATGTGGACCGTTGCTCTCGTGGTGATGTCGTACCACTCGATGGCTTTCGGGTCCGTCCTCCCTATTTACCTCCTCGACGATCCACAACGACCTCCTCGAGAGCTTGACCTGAAAGGGGGCCTTGGGATGAGTCTGCACGAAGTCGGGACATACCTCGCAGTTAGCAGCGTCATGTCACTATTTTTTCAGGCCGTTGTGTTCCCCTTCTTTGTGGCGAAATTGGGCGTCTGGAAGTCAGTTTTGTCAGTGACGCTTCTTAGCCCGTTCATCCACACCGTTGTGCCGTTCGTCTCTCTTCTGCCGAAACCTGGTGCGGGCATCTATGCTGTGCTGGCATTCCAGAGCTTCACGGGCGTCGTCTCATTTCCGACCTTTTTGATACTTTTGAAGAACGCCACCCCGTCGCCGCTGGTGCTGGGCAAAGTGAATGGACTGGCCATGTCAGCTTGTTCCGCCGCGAGAACGGTGGGACCACCGCTTGTCGGGATTTTCTACAGCAGCCTTGGTTCAGCAGGGGCATGGTGGAGCTGTGCCATTGTGGCCATAATTGGGGTCATCCAGTTCTACTTCTCACCCAGGCCACGGGACGACGACGAGACGATATTGCGGAGAGCCTCTACGGCTGCCGTGGATGCTCCGCCCATGGCTGATCTGGTGCGGAGTCAGGAAGAGTAGTTTTTGTATTTGATGGGACTTTGTTCAGTGCACCTTGTGTGAAATTCTGTGGACTTTGGAGCAAAACAATCATAAATAGATTGCTGCGTATGTGTTATGGTGCTTTGGCTGGTCAACGAACAAGGCTGGCGCTAAATGAGGCTTTACATATCATAATCAAAAGTTCCACCGTATCAATCCGGCAGATTACTCAAGCCTCAAGCGCAGTCTCGGCTTAACGACCCAAGCACATTCTCCGACCATCGGCTTCGGTGATTGCGTCTTTACCTCGACAATCATGTCATTATCCTCGATTTTTCAGTCCATTTATAATTCTTGACTCTTTTTTGGGATAATCGAAAAGGTACTAGCGACCATTTCGACTAGGGGAGGAGGGAGAGTGGTGTTGACAGCTCGATACCTGCTGTGAGGGACACCAACCCCGGATCCCATCATGCTATCACGTCCACTCCTCCCCTGTGGGAAGCGCAAGCTCTACAGTGCTCTTGGGCCCTTTGCAGTAAAACAGTCACCCAGGAGTCGGAGTTATGCGCCGTCTTGTGTCTGTGCATTCTCACGCTCGGCGTTCACAAGGCGACAAGATGACTCGAAGAAAGCTGTGCACGCGACCAAGCTTGCGGAGGCACCGCCCAGCAGAGCCGACAGCTCCGAGGTCACCAAACCAGAGTCTATACAAAAGAATGAAACCCTCAAAGCCGAACCAGAGCCCTCCAAGAAAGGATCTCTCCTTTCGGAAAAGGTCGTCTCGAACAAAGAGCAACGAAAAGTTGACCTGGCCATCATGAGGGAAATGGTCCAGTATCTGTGGCCCAAGGGTGACTGGCCAACCAAGCTGCGAGTTGGTACAGCATTAGGCCTTTTGGTTGGGGCCAAGATCCTCAACGTCAATGTGCCCTTTTACTTCAAAAACATTGTGGATTCTATGAACATTGATTTCCTGGCTGTTGGAGGCACTGCCTGGACGGTGGCGGGATCGATGATAGTGGCATATGGCGCGACTCGTATAGGCGCAACGTTGTTTCAGGAGGTGCGGAATGCGGTCTTTGCCAGCGTTGCACAGAAGGCCATCCGCAATGTGGCGCGCAACGTCTTCCAGCATCTATTACGGCTGGACCTGAATTTTCATCTATCAAGACAGACCGGTGGATTAACAAGGGCGTTGGATCGTGGTACCAAAGGAATCAGCTTTTTGCTGACGTCCATGTTATTCCATATTTTCCCAACGGTGCTGGAGATTTCCTTGGTCTGTGGCATCTTGACATATCAGTATGGGGCGCAGTTCGCTGCGATCACGGCAGCTACAATGGTCGCATATTCGGCCTTTACTATCACTACGACGTCGTGGAGAACCAAATTCCGCAAGCAGGCCAACGCAGCTGACAATCAGGGTGCTACGGTGGCGGTCGACACGCTCATCAACTACGAGGCGGTCAAATACTTCAACAATGAGAAGTTCGAGGTCAACAGATATGACGCCGCCTTGAAAAAGTACGAGGACGCGTCAATTAAGGTCACCACATCGTTGGCATTCTTGAACACTGGGCAGAATATGATCTTCTCCAGCGCCCTCGCAGCCATGATGTATATGGCGGCGAACGGGGTGGCGAGTGGTTCATTGACGGTCGGAGACTTGGTCATGGTCAACCAACTCGTTTTCCAGTTGTCAGTCCCCCTGAACTTCTTGGGTTCGGTCTACCGAGAACTTCGACAATCTCTCCTCGATATGGAGACTTTGTTCAACTTGCAAAAAGTGAATGTGACGGTCAAAGAGGTTGCGAATCCGAGACCGCTGGCATTGACGAAGGGCGGCGAGATCAAGTTTGAAAACGTTACCTTTGGCTACCATGCCGATCGGCTCATCCTCCGCAATCTGAGCATGACGATACCTGCGGGCAAGAAGGTTGCCATAGTCGGACCCAGTGGCTGTGGGAAATCGACCATTCTTCGACTTCTGTTCCGGTTCTACGATGCCGACTCTGGTCAGATCCTGGTCGACGGACAGAATATCAAAGATGTGAGCCTTGATAGCTTGCGGCGGAGTATCGGTGTTGTCCCCCAAGATACACCACTGTTCAACAATACAATCGAACACAATATCCGGTATGGCAACGTCGAAGCATCCTTGGAAGAAGTCAAGAGTGCCGCGAAGCGAGCTCACATTTTCGATCTCATTGAGCGGCTGCCAGCTGGATGGAATACTATGGTTGGCGAACGAGGCATGATGATTTCCGGTGGTGAAAAGCAGCGGCTTGCTGTTGCTCGACTGATTCTGAAAGATCCTCCTCTCCTGTTCTTCGACGAAGCGACGTCGGCGCTGGATACTTATACCGAGCAGACGCTCTTACAGAACATCAATAGTATCCTGAAGGAGAAGGGTCGGACCAGCGTCTTTGTCGCACATCGGCTTCGCACCATTTTTGATTGCGACATCATCTTCGTCCTGAACGAAGGCAAAGTCGTCGAACAAGGCACCCACGCCGAGCTTTTGGCGCGTGAAGGCCTTTACGCTGACCTCTGGGCAGCTCAGGAAGTGTCAATTGGACAAGACATGACGCTTGAACGATCCCTGGAGGAGAAGCGACAGAGTGACGAAAAGGAGACTCAATCTTGATTTCAACAAGCCTTGACCTTGCTCACCTTGAAGCTATCGAGTTGAAAAGGGGATGCGTCTGTCGGTCCCTCCGCCAGGCCAGACGCGGGGCCTAGACGTGTTTCTTTGGAAATTTACGCGTGTGTGAGCAGAAAAAAAGCCTTTGTGTTCTCGCATGGTTAGGGCGTGCTAGGCAAGGATGCGACGCCTTTTGGAAGGAGAGAAATCGTGGTTAGCCTTGCTTCGAGAACACTAGGCGAGATGTGATGATCTCCAGACAAAGGTGGAGGAACTATCGAGACTATCGAGAAAGGCGCCCATTTCGTCAAAGGCTCACCATCAGCCAGGTTGCCAGGGGAGCGAGATGATGGACAGCACTGGGCAGAGACAAGTGCAGAGACCAGGACAGGGGTTCAACGAATTTCATTTTCGCACGTGGCGTCCAGACTGTGGCATCAGGTCCACTCCTTGAGAACGGCCACCACTGCATGGAGTCTAGCGAGAAGCCCCCGAGTGCCGATCTCTCGATGGTGTTGGATGTCTCTGTTGGATAAGACAGGCATGGACAGGCAAATAGGCCAACGCGGGCGTGGGAAGCTCGTGGGGGAAACACCGAGTACAGAGCGCAGTTACACAGGTAGATTGGATTCCCATCTCAGGATAGACAAGCAGGACTCTCGCATCTCGTTTCAATACTTCGATTACACGTGCTACAAGTAGTAGGTGATCCTTGCTGCACCACATGGGCGTCGTTTGGGCTAGAACTTGTGGGATTCAACCGCTACTCGTATAGAATTACTTGCCACTTTGTAAGGAGTACGAGGTATTCCGAAGATACTTGGTACTGGTACCTGACAAAAATCACCCGCATCGACGCTAGGCACCGTGGTACCTAACGATGGCCTCCCTAGTCGGGCTCGCTAAGGGTCATTAGCCCGTTAAGGTGGCACCGGTGCCACCATCGAGAGCAGGTCCAACGGGGCCAAGCAGCCCTAACGTCTGACTAAAAGCCACTGAGCTTGGAAGTCTCGCAGCCCGAGAAATTGCACTTGCCACGATGCCACACTGCCCAACTCCCCTTGATCCCATTATCCACTTCCAAGTCAATTTGCGGCGAGACTATGAGAGTATCACTAGGTACTGTAGGTACAAGTCCTTGTCCTCGTAGAATGCTCGGGGGGGACTCCATGCCTGATAACTTGGGTCAATCGCTTGGTGGCAGAAACGGTTCATCCATCCCACAGACCTTGACCTGAGCTACTTGTACATACATACCAACCTCAACACCTCCTTCCCTAGACGCATATTTTGCTTTTTTGCTTCTTTTTCTTGTTCTGCCCACTCCTCGGTACTCGCAAACGCATTCGCTCGTTCGTGCGAACCCTCGAATAACCTTTGATCCTACTGCATGCTTGCAACACTCCGCTCGTTTCAGAAATCCCAAGAGCTTGCATTAGGGCCCCTGTCAACCCACAAGAAACTCTGAACTTCCCGGGGAAACATCTGGCGCATCACGATATCCCGCTCGCCTACTGCCTACTACTTCTAATACTTCGACCCTTTTTTGTGCGCCGCACTTCGCCTGAGAAAACCGAGTCCGAAAAGCCCGGAAGAAAGCTGCTCATTCGACCCAAAGGTCAGCCATTCGTTTTTTTGCACAGCGCGGCTGTTCACAAGACACCATCCGACCGCCCGGGGCCCGCTGTTCGCCATCTTTGCTCCTCCACAGAAAGACCTTTCCCTCAACCCCCCCCCCCCCGAACCGAAGTATCCGAACCAAAGATAAGAAAGGGCGTGGGACATCAAGGCGCGAGCTTCCGAGCGAGCAAGGAACCCTCCTTTATCGTCATATCAAACGGCAAACCGTCTGCGAGGATTTCTGACCTCTGAAGAACCAGGCCACTCCAAAAGCCTGGAAGAGGAGGCAACGTCTATCCAAAGGACCAGGCCCGCCACCGTAGATCAGCTTACACGAAGGCTCAACACTGCTATTTAAAAACACCATCCTACCTGCGAAAGGGACTCGCATCACTCTCTTAGAAGTTTGGAAAGGCTGTTCACATACACAAAATGGGTCTCTTCGACAAACTTCAAGCAAGTAAGGGTGCCCCGTTCTCCCTTGATGCTACTTCTCCAACCACTCCCCCAATGCATCCTACTTGGGAAATATGCTCAACTGACCTCGTAACAGAACTGGAGCTTTACCGTCTCGAACAGAAGTACGCGCGTCGCAAGAACCGGACGACATTCACGACGGGCGCGGTATATCAGGACGGCGAATACTTCTACACAGGCGCCGCCGACTCGCGGAGCCCGACCATGTCGACCAACTCGACTGGCAATTCCAACAACACCTCTACAAGTAACAAGAGGAGGACGGTGCTGTGGGTGCCACCCGAGCAACGGAGATGAATGAACAAGACAAAGTGATGACGGGCTGGTCAGCCGTTTTTCTGGTGGCCTGCCTATGCCGGACTTTTTTGAGGGAGATTGCTTTCGTGTGAATATCCTCTTATTGTCTTTTGGGGTTTTTTAAAGCATAGCACCGGCGTTTTTTGTGTCTGGTGAGGCCTTTTTTCTGAGTTTTGCGTGTCGATGCACTCGCTGCCTTTTTTTTTGCGCTTCTCTTTTGTCTTTCAATGGAAGTATGTGATTTCGGAACGTCGACATTTTGGATGAGCGAGCAAGCAGGGTTACGAATGGGACAAGGGGAGGAGGGGGGGAAGAGAGGAAGAACGAGTGAGTGATTTGGTGGAAGAGGCTCGAGGCTAGATGCGTGAGACGGTAAGGCTTGAGGCTTTGAAGAGTCGGATTTCAGATCTGCGATTGAGAACCGTGCGAGGGGTGGTTGTCCGCCGTTCTGTTAGGAGTGGTGGTTGATCGGCCAATGCTTTGGCGGTGGTCTGGTCTTTCAGGCAAGGCAGTCAGTAAGTAGCGGTGTATGGATAGCATAGCTGATGCGCACTCACTTGCACTACGACATAGAGATTAGAAAGGGGAGAAAGAAAGAAGATACACTACCTACCTACCTACCTACCTACATGAGTACCTACCTACCAACAGTACCTACACACAATAGGTCCACGCCTGTCCTCGGTCCCTACTTGGTACCCTACATACTTTGTACCGAGTATCCCATTTCAATCCACATGTTCCACAGCAATGCGGCACCCGGCTGATCTACATACCATACTGCTGATCATGTCCTGATCTGACCTATATATACATCATATGTACCGAGTACATACACGCATACCTACGTACCTACGTACCTACGTACCTACGTACTTTTCTATGCCGTGAACGTGTCCTTGGTGTTTACTACAGAGTCAAGGGAGTACATACATACATACATATATGTGGGGTCCACGATGATCGCTTCGTCATCTCGTCGTCATCCCGTTCATGCATGCATGCATGCATCCATATCCTCATTGATCCTTCCTCCGCCTTTTCCCAAGTGTCCGCCCTTCCGCCGTCACTTGGAAAGTTCCGGATGCCGGGAAATAAAAGCCCACGAGGCCACGAGGCCACGAGGCCCACGAGGAGGAGGCTCCAAGGGTACAAAAGGCTGATGATTATCACACTCCCCCATCCATCCGCGATTGCTTGCCCTCGAATCAATCAAATATAGATGTAGATGGACATGGTAAACGCCATCCGGCTGGCCTCATGTATACATTCCATTTTCACCAGTCAAGTCAAAAGAGAACAGAAACACAGGTTCGAGCCGCCAATACAATTTGCCCAGACAACAACAGGGTCCTTTGGTTGATACATGTAATTCCTCCTATTATACGGCCCCTACTGCTAATCCCATCTGTCCGTCCTGTGAGGTCCAAGTCTCCTCATCAGTCAGACTCGAGAGACTTCTCCTCACAAATGTCCCTACTTCTTCTTCTCCCTGTCTTTACTCCCCCCAGCCCTGGCAATCCCGCTCGCAAATTTCCCAAAACCCCCTGCCAGACTATGGCCTCGTTTATGCGGACCAACTCGATCGTCTCCAGCGCCCACCGTCCTAGCACCAGGGCCCCCGACACCTGTTATTGCCAGCCCAGTTCCTGGCTTGACCAGCCCTGATCCGGTGCCAGTTGCGCCAATACCACTCAAAGGTCGTCCACCGTGTAGTTTATGTCCGCTTCGAAATGCATCGCCGTCGGTTACTCCACCGATACCACCATCTCGTAAACTCGCACGACTTGAGCGGCCGGCATCATCAGCCGCGCTCTGTATTGCAGAAATAGGCGTTTCTGCATCAAGTTCCCCCCTCAGAAGTCTCTCGTTCCGACGCCTCGCGCGTTCCTGGGTCTGTTTGAACTTGTCAAGCAGTTCGGGCCATTTAATCTCGTTGATACCGACAGCGGCTGTAGCATCACGCGTTCGTGAGAGACGAGAGCTGACAGTGCTGTTTAGAGCGCTGCCGGTTGTAGCAGGCAGAGAAGTCGAAGAAATTCCCGAGCCCACACTAAAGGGCCACACAGTCATGTTAGATAATACGATTAACACAAAAAAGCGCTGGTTGGACAAGATTAAAGGGAAAAGAAATGGACTCAACGTACGATGGTCTGGCTGAAGTAGGCATCGAGGCCGGTGTATGCAACAACCCTATGGCCGAGACACTGTTGAGGCGGTTTTTCAAGGCACCAAAGGCAGAGGATTGAGGGAGCAACATGAGAAGACCGTAGAGACATTTATAAAGGTAGGGATAGCGATCGGGCTCGAGGAGTTGGAGTCGTAGATCTGTGAATTCTCAGCATTCGCAACCAAAGCAGGAGGAAAAAAGGGCTCAGAACTTACATGTAAAGACAGGACTTTCTAGTAACTGCACCAACTTGTCGATCTGGATGAGCATATTGACCGTCATTTCCAAGTCAGCAAAAATCTGGAGTAGATTGTAAGCTTGCTCATATGCTTGGGCCAGGAGGCACAGCGAAAACGTAGCCACAGCATTGTGACACCAAGCGCGAAACAGAGCCACAAAGAACATCTGCCCCTCCTTGCTGTCCGGGTTTCGAAGCCTT